GGTCTGCATGTCCGGGCCGAAGAGGGACGTCTGGGAAACAGGCAGGTCCAGCAGCTGCCTCTTCTCCGCCTCCCTGATGTTAGCTAGCCCAAGCCAAAGGTGCCTGGCCCCAACTTGAGCTGCTGCCATGGAGCGGCCGCCATCCACAGCTAGCGCCTGGCACATGCGCAGGATCGCGGCGATCCTGGTCCTCGCCTGTGATAAGGTGTCTCCACTGAGCGCCTGGCCAGAAGAGAGCGCCCTATCCAGGGCCCCCGTGATGAAGGCCATGTTGTTCGCCACAGCGACGACCTGTGCCGCATTGGCGTAACATCTGTCCAGCATAGCCAAAGACGTCCTGTCCCGCTCGGAGGGAAGGAGAGGTCTGGTGCCGGGCCACACGGATGCGGAGGGGTGCAGGGCCATGCGGACCAAATCCTCGATGTCCGGGACCCCGCCGTTCCAGGACCAGTCCTGCACGCTGCAGTACATGCCGTAGCCCAAAGCGGGCCTCTTGGCCGCTAGGGGCTTTGGCCACTCACGTGTCGCGTAATGGACGATCAGGTCCATCCGCGGGCACAACGTGGGCTGTATCCGCCTCCTCCCTCGAGTGGTGGCGTAACCGGAGGTGAAGTCCTCCGCCCTCTGGGTCGGCTGCGGTGGCAGGGGGGCATCCATGATGGCCGCCGCGGAGGAGTAGAGCCCAGGCATGTGGTCCAGTGGGAAGCGGTCCGGCTCCGGGTTCGAGACCACCTCGTCCAGGGTGAGGAGGGAGCCGACCTCCGAAACCTCTCCGTCCTCACAGTCACCCCACTCCGCGGGCACGGGTGGAAGGTCGAGTGGGGCCCAGTCAGTCTCAGACTCAGGCACATGAAGCAGCTGGAGTGCTGGTCCGTGCGCTGGAGCCTGACTCGACACGTCGAGCAACGACGACGTCCGACGCCGGATGGCGAAGGGGAACTCGGACGAGCATCAGCAGACATCTTTTTTCTCTGGAAGTGAGTACTGTGGTAGATCTCAAACGGCGCCAGAGTGAAAGAGGGGGTACGGCCTTGTGCAGGGGCATTTATAGAGGACGGTGGCTGGTGATTGGAGCAAATTATTTTGATCTCTCTGGCGTGTGACCTGGGGGTCACGAGTGATATCCCACTAGCGAAGTCCTAAGGGACGTAGCACCATGACGTAGAACTGAGTAACGTTGTTACTCAGTTCAAAGTGTTTAAAGTGATAGTCTGTAACTCTAAATGAATTACAAATTTTAGGAAATGTGTTAAATTGACCTCCTGGCCTTAAATGTTGATATAAAATAAGTCATTTTATTATTACTAATATTACGGGCAAGTCCCGCCTTCCCTTCTCTAAGCCATAGTTCAGAATCCATGGTGCCGTCGAGGTTAACCAATCGAGTCATGCCAAGGGCTGTCAATCATCGGCGCTGATGCTCGCAGCTGTGCGCATGCTCAGTTGATTGTTTTTGCGGAACCTCCGAATCAAGCCTCTATTAGGCTCTGGAACTACATGAAAACTGAACAAAGAATTCTGAACATCTGCGCTGAGGTACTCATTTATATACTGAACCTACAGTGCCTTGCAAAAGTATACTTGAACCTTTAAACATTTCGCCACATTTCAGGCTTCAAACATAAAGATATAAAAATTTAATTTTTTGTCAAGAATCAACAACAAGTGGGACACAATCGTGAAGTGGAACAAAATGTATTGGATAATTTAAACTTTTTTAACAAATAAAGCGTTTGTGAACAGCAGTCTTCAGCTCTTTCCACAGATTCTCGATTGGATTTAGGTCTGGACTTTGACTTGGCCATTTTAACACCTGGATACGTCTATTTGTGAACCATTCCATTGTAGATTTGGCTTTATGTTTTGGATCATTGTCCTGTTGGAAGATAAATCTCCGTCCCAGTCTCAGGTCTTTTGCAGACTCCAACAGGTTTTCTTCCAGAATGGTCCTGTATTTGGCTCCATCCATCTTCCCATCAATTTTAGCCATCTTCTCTGTCCCTGCTGAAGAAGCAGGCCCAAACCATGATGCTGCCACCACCATGTTTGACAGTGGGGATGGTGTGTTCAGGGTGATGAGCTGTGTTGCTTTTACGCCAAACATATCGCTTTGCATTGTGGCCAAAAAGTTCGATTTTGGTTTCATCTGACCAGAGCACCTTTTTCCACATGTTTGGTGTGTCTCCCAGGTGGCTTGTGGCAAACTTTAAACAAGACTTTTTATGGATATCTTTGAGAAATGGCTTTCTTCTTGCCACTCTTCCATAAAGGCCAGATTTGTGCAGTGCACGACTGATTGTTGTCCTATGGACAGACTCTCCCACCTCAGCTGTAGTTATCTGCAGTTCATCCAGAGTGATCATGGGCCTCTTGGCTGCATCTCTGATCAGTCTTCTCCTTGTTTGAGATGAAAGTTTGGAGGGACGGCCGGGTCTTGGTAGATTTGCAGTGGTCTGATACTCCTTCCATTTCAATATAATTGCTTGCTCAGTGCTCCTTGAGATGTTTAAAGCTTGGGAAGTCTTTTTGTATCCAAATCCGGCTTTAAACTTCTCCACAACAGTATCTCGGACCTGCCTGGTGTGTTCCTTTGTCTTCATGGTTCTCTCTGCGCTTTAAACAGAACCCTGAGACTATCAAATAGCAGGTGCATTTATACGGAGACTTGATTACACACAGGTGCATTCTATTTATCATCATCATTCATTTAGGACAACATTGGATCATTCAAAGATCCTAACTCAACTTCTGGAGTGAGTTTGCTGCACTGAAAGTAAAGGGGGCCGAATAATATTGTACGCCCCACTTTTCAGTTTTTTATTTGTTAAAAAAGTTTAAATCATCCAATAAATTTCGTTCCACTTCACGATTGTGTCCCACTTGTTGTTGATTCATGACAAAAATGTTTACATTTTATATCTTTATGTTTGAAGCCTGAAATGTGGCGAAATGTTGAAAGGTTCAAGGGGGCCGAATACTTTCGCAAGGCACTGTATATCCATAATCATTTATATACTGAACCTATATCCATAATCATTTATATACTGAACCTATATCCATAATCAGATCCTCTGCAGATGTGTCCTATAATGTGCAATTCATGATGGTAGCTTGTTCCGGGTTTGCCGCGATCGCTTTTTTTGTGCATAAAAACATTATTTTTTTCATTAAAACGTTAACAAATAATTCTGAAAACCTCTGTGCATGTGTATTAATAATGTTTATGTATAATGTGTTCTCTGATTAACATTTCAAAGTGTTACGGAAACGTAGGCATAGACCAATCAGAAAGGAAGAGGGAGAGAGCTTGCGTCATTTTTTTTTTTCAAATCAAGTACCTCTCTGTCTCTCTTTCTGACAAACTCCAGACAATCACTTTGAAGAGAAAGACGAAAAGAACAAAAATACCCAAATTAATGCTGTCTTTCTCTAGAGGCAGTCGGAAATGAAAGAACCACAACATTTTTAGAGCTGCTTGTCTCTGGTACATTATTTTTCTGATTCAAAAAAACACCAACAACTATCATCTGGTTACACGTGTTTTGTCCACATAATGGCGTTAGAGCAAATGATTCACCTTGAAGCTTCGAGCCATGTGTCGAGTAATAGGTTGCGATGCTTCATTGCTTCATGGCAATTCATATTACCATCACTAGAGCAAGCATACGTTGAGTGAGTCTTCTGTTGCGCCCGAACCAATAAACGAAGACAAATCACCATATCCCACAAAACAGGCAGAAGCTCCGCTGGACCTGGCATTTTCAAATCTAATGAAAATAGCAGTACTTCTCCGGTATAGTGTTATTGCCCCTTTGAAGTGTGTATGTATTACCACCATCTATTGGACTGGGGTGAAATCAGACACGACGGTGTTGCGTGTGACGTGGAACACGTTGGCCGCATCACTTTGCATACATAGGGTGCACTTCCTTATTTGAGGATGTTGAGAAAATGCTAACATAGTATTCTTGTGTCTAAAAGTCCTTTCTAATGGAGAACGTCAAGCAGATGTTTTTGAATATTGTCACTTATAATCACCTTTATAAGAAAACTAGACAATAGTTGATATGTGCTGACAAAGAAGATTAAGAACTTTGTGTTCTTATCTTTTTGTTTCATGTGGATTGGGGCATGTATTGCAGATACGTTTGAGCTAAACTAAAACTAGGATCAGATTTTTTTTACACTTACCATAGGTACCACATGTTTTTCGACTGCTCCCCACAAAAATTGCAAACTATGGTAAACTACTAGTTGGAATATTGTCACATTCCACAGAGCTCATAGTTATCATGTTGTCAATTATGGCACATGAACACAACATGTATAGAACAAAATGTACAGTAACATTGATGTAGTAAGGGGCTTAGTTAAGACAAGACATTTCCGCCACAAACCTGCCGCGTAAGTAACACTACACCACCCCCCTCTGACTGCGTGAAGAAAGTGCACCCTTGTCTTAACCAAACTTTTTCTTACAATTTAGACAATTACTATATTTTCCCCTCAAGCAAGATTATGGAAGAGCTTTGCAAGTCACTATGGTGGAATGTTTTAAGGCAATTTAATTCAAAAAAGCATGTTTTACTTGGGGTTTATACAAGCTGTGAGCCAATTGGCTTGATATATCACACTGTCATATATTAGTTTTACATCGTGGGTTGAATTACAGAGGTAAATGTATTTTTAAACAATATTCTCAATTCACCAGTTCTATCAGTTTGCCTCTTTAATCCACCCTGATTCACTTTTGTGAATCAGCTCTGCGGTCGTGCTAGTGACAAAAATTCACACATGTGAAAACCTGGTAACATTTTTTAAACATCTTCAAAGCGTGTGAAAAGCAGGTTCCTCAAGATGGAGTTTCTAATATTAATGCATGTTATATGTATTCTCTGGCAATCAAGTCGCCATTTCTTATACCAATAGCTAAATAAAATAAAATAAATAAATACATTTCAATGAAATGTTTTAGAGCATGATTTAAGTCAGTGTGGTACCAGAGGTGACGTGCTCCTGTTTCAGTCCTAGGAGTTCAGTCAGGATTTCCAAACATTTTTCACTGTAGCTCCTGCCGATTCGCCCTGCAACAAAACAGAACTCATTATTTCATTGAATTATGAACGGAAACAGACAAACAGTGTCTTAATATAACTACACAACGCAGAGCACAGAGGCAAAACAGAACCAAAGATTTTCATTATTCCCTTCAAATCACATTTTCAGAGCTAAATACGTCTCGCCAAGAGTCGTTATAAGCTTGTTAACATTGTTGGAAAAATAATTTGTATTAATAAAATTCCGGTTTAGGAAACTGTCATGGTTGGTACATTTATTACTTAACTATACTTTTATACTTTAAAGACGCATACCTTTTGATTAGGGAGAAAATAATATTGGGACAGTGCTCTTGATAGCTTGAAAAAGCCTAATGGGGAAGCTCTGATGTTTTCAAAAACTGTTTGCATCCTCCCCCCTTGTCTGCGTAGGTTTCCTCCGGGTACTACGGTTTCCCCTACCACTAAAAACGTGTACAATAGGTCTTATATGCACCTCCTGTACTGGCGACCTTTCTCCCATCTCTGTGTGGAGTGAGAGGACAAATGCCCACAATTGTAAACCGCTCTGTGACTGGTCTGTGAAAGGCAGTATATAAATAAATATTACTTATTTACTTACTTACAGATATTCCCCATAACAACTGACCAATCAGTAGTCTTCAGTCTCCAAATTTGGATTTGAATAGCATGGGTGGGTACAGACCAGCGCCGCTCATGATTGGCTCTTTAGTTGCTAGGTTGTTGCCATCTAAGATGTTAGCAAATAGGCAATTTGCGTATTCATCAAACGACATTGCCAAGAGACATACATGAGTTCTCAGCAGAGGTGTGGACTCGAGTCATGTGACTTGGACTCGAGTCAGACTCGAGTCATGATTTTGATGACTTTAGACTCGACTTGACCAAATATAAAAAGACTTGCAACTCGACTTGGACTTTAACATCAATGACTCTGACTTTCACTTGGACTTGCGCCAATTGACTTGTAAAGACTTGCGTAACCCGGGCCATTTTTACCTTTCTCCGCATCTCTCTTTCTATCTATGCCGTCTCTGAAGAAACAAAGCCTCGCGGTAGTTGTAGCGCTCGCGAGAGAGTTTGAACGTGAGTTCCCCGCAGTTCGCGCAGCAACACTTCCCTAAACAAGCGGACTGCATTCACCGGTGGGTGTGTTGTCTAGGGGAGCTGGAAATGAGCGAGCTGCAGGTATTTATCGCGACCTAACGTCATATTTTGTTCTACAAACCGTAATTGATATGCTTTCACTACAGGCGCCTCATACAATTGAATCGACGCAGTTGTCACACTCTGTGCCGTGTTTTAAAGAGGAACTGGTGAGTAAAACTAGCGCTAGCCTGCGCTGCTCTGTTGGCTCTTTCTTATATTTTTCTGTGTGGGCGCCGAGGCCTATTATTATGAGTATGTTTTTGCTGTGCTCCTCCTGCTAAAGTTTGCATACATTAGATAGTTGTTTTGATTATGTGCACTAAGCTAGATTAATATTTGCACTATTGTTTATGGTGCATTGATATGAGAATCAGTGCGTTGACTGATTGAATTAATTTATATGAGACATTTTATTATGTAATGATATATTGGTAATTATTAGTGGGCAAAGCTCCCACTGAAAGATCAAGGCTATGCTCACACTCAGAGCAGCCGTCCTCCTGTGGACTCACCACCTGCAGAGGGTCGGTGAGGGGCTGGTGCTATGAGACTTGGGTGGCATCTCTGATTGCCACCCCCCTGACCCAGAAATGGATTAAAGGGTAGAAGATGGATAGATGGATATTGGTAATTATGAGATATTGCTAATGCTGGTCCAGTTGATGGCGAGCTGCCCCAGGTCCAAAGCCTAGACCCCTCATACTACCCCTATTCTACAGTAGGACATTTGGAACAATAACCACTACGGACATTAAACTGTCATATATAGATACAGGTCCTAGCCCAATACTCATATTCATATATGCTGCACTTGCTACTTCCCATTAAAAACCCCAAAGATAAAAAGTATGTTGACACGGACTGCTCTGATTTTATGTGTGGTCTGTGCATGTGTAACTGAGCCTGCATCTGGCACAACATCCAATTAGATCACGTAGATAGTTTTGATTTATCAGCAGCCAACGACATGGAACAAACTGTTAGTCCATGGGTCAGAGACCAACGAGAATGCACCAGCAAAATGATTCCTAACATTATTTTGTTTGCCTACAAAAGTACGTGGAGACCAACAAGAAACAAATCGCGGTCAAAAAGACTCGAGAGGACTCGAAAGTCAAACCGTAGGACTTGGGACTGACTTGAGATTTGTTGGCCTTTGACTTGGACTCGACTCGGGACTTGCCTGTCTTGACTCGTGACTTGACTCGGGACTTGAGGGCAATGAATTGAGACTGACTTGTGACTTGCTAAACAATGACTTTGTCCCACCTCTGGTTCTCAGTGCTGTATATGAGACTACAGCTACAAGCACAGCTCAGTAAACCTAAATCTGACACAAGTTCAGCTCTTTAAACTCACAAAGTCACAGCAGCTTCTACACTTCCTCCTGTGTCTTTAGATTTAACATGAAGGTTGAACCAACAAAAAATGTAAAAAAGTATGTATTCTGTCATGTTGCCACGTATCTCTGTATATTATGTGTGCTTCTTGTGAGCTCTAACTAGTGTACTGCATGTGCGGTTCATCACTGAAAGTTCCCCACTGTGGCGTTCTTACCAGGTTTTCAGCTTTTCAGCTTGGGTTTTTCTTTAGCAGAAAAGTTTCTTCTTCCCACTTTGCTAAAACTATAATGGATTTGGCCCTACACCCTAAGCATGTTTGTGTTCATTCCCTTCTTAGCTAAACAATGAGACTGCTGTGGCAATCCGTGCTTTAGTTTTTATATAACAGCCACGTTGGTAAACAAGTCTGCCGCCTCATAGCTGATTTAGCAATAGCAAGCTATCATGTTTGATGTAACCTAGGCATGGATTTATTATAAGAACCTAACTTGCTAGACATGTGTTGTTTTGCCAAGTTATTGATAAGTCTAAACAGCCTATGACGATAGCTTTCTAACAATGGGTGGGATGGTATTTGACCCCTGACCTTTTTAAAGAGACATGTTTGTAAAGAGGCAAAACGCATGAAGAAATGTAATTACACTAGGGGTGAGCGATATGGGCAAAAATAAATATCTCAATATTTTTTACGATATTGTCACAATATCTTTAAAATCAATAATTTGTACATAAAATGATCTGCAATGTTTTGCTTGCCAGGGCATCTACAGTACAGACCAAAAGTTTGGACACACCTTCTCATTCAAAGAGTTTTTCATTTTCATGATAATGAACATTTTAGATTCACACTAAAAGCATCAAAACTAGGAAAGAAAAAAGTATGAAACAACTGAAAATGTTTCTTATATTTTAGATTCTTCAAAGTAGCACCTTTTGCTCTGATTACTGTTTCGCACACTCTTGGCATTCTCTTGATGAGTTTCAAGAGGACCTGAAATGGTCTTCAACAGTCTTGAAGGAGTTCCCAGAGATGCGTAGCACTTGCTGGCCCTTTCGCCTTCACTTTGTGGTCCAGCTCACCCCAAAACCATCTGGATTGGGTTCAGGTCCGGTGACTGTGGAGGCCAGGTCATCTGACCCAGCACCCACCACTCTCCTTATTGGTCGAATAGTCCTTTCACAGCCTGGTGTGAATCTACAGTCAATAGTCATGAAAAGGAAGGAAACTCATTGAATGAGAAAGTGTGTCCAAACTTTTGGTCTGTACTGTACATATAGACAGTGTAGTTCAAATTAGCAGCTTTTTATTTGTAAAGTGCATTTACTGAAATGCACAAATAAAGCAGTGATTGCCTGCTCTAATTGTAATATGTATTGAAGATTTAAAAAAAAAAATATATATATATTTATTTATTTTCTAAATTGACGATAATGCGAAAAAGCATATCTTCAAATTCACTTTCGCGATATAAGTGTGCCAAATAAGTTCCGAAAAGCACTAGTTTAAAAGAGCAACTTCATCAAAACTATAAACCTAGAGGCCTGTAAATGTAGACAGTTGTTGCTAACAACAAATATTACCATAGGATTTGAATATTGTGAGCTTGCAATGAAGTATGCCTTTGCTAGGGTTTTTATACATTTTATATTATAGGCGAGGCTGCAACTTCAAAGGATGCAGAATGAAATAGAAATGACATACTCTATTCTAGTAAATATGCAAAGACATTTGGGTATGCCCAACTTTTCAGCACAAGCCAAAATGTGGTGGCTGGTAAGAGGTTGAAAGTGAAGATAATCTGCATATTTTTCTTTTAATCCACTTTGTGTGACTGACATTTGTCAATCACTATCAGCCATACATATCAGATTTTCTGTGATTCAAGGCAAATGAAAATTAGTTAATTCTAGAAAACTTGGCCATAAGATGAAAAAATATACTAAAGTTACACAATAAATTAATTACAAATGTCCATTGTTCCCTCTTTATCTGAAGAAATTACAGGGAGGGGTAAGTCCACAGAGCTCATTGATACCAGCCGACCCCTTTTGACACACAATATCAAAACACGACAAACAATTTGTTATAATGCTTTTTAGCGTGGTTGTGGACATTGGCTTCATGTATGTTCTTTTTTTAGAGTCAACTCAAAGCCGGTGGACTACGTGACGTGAAATCTATATAGTTGGAGAGTTTGTTTACCGATGGCAGAGATGGCGGCCTGAGCGGTGTCTGCATTCACATCGGTGCAGTAACCTCTGAGCTCGTCCAGAATCATCCATGCGTTTTCATCATTCACCAGCTCCACCAGCATCTGAAACAAAACTCCAGTCAGGCCGCAGACCCATCTACAGCGGATATCAAAAGCAACCAAAGCAGATCCATTTATATTTAAAAACTACCTCTGCTGCTGTGGCCTAAAGTGCTGTTGCATTGTATTACTTCTCCAAACGGGGATCAGTAAAGTATCTATCTATCTATTTATTACATATTTTGCAAACTTGAAAGAAAGAGCCCTGTGGGTCACAATTTGACACTTTAGGATGAGAGCTGATGTGAGGGTAGTCCTCTCTTTTTTACTTTTCCGCCTAAAAAATATGGTGTAAAAATGTGACAGAGGCCAAAAATACATGCATGTGAAAACTAGGGACAGAACTAAACTGTTTTGATATCGATTTTAGATGGATATTACATAGTTCACTTTAGAAGTAAGTAAGATTTTAAGTAAGATGTGGTTTGAAAGTTAGGTACACCAGCTTTAATTTATATAGTCTATGACACAAGGCTAAAGACAACTCTTGGTCTGAGCTTGAATAATGATGTTAAAAAATGAATAGTATCCATTGTGTCTATGAGTTTGTGTAAGCCCTCAGTCGTACAGGGATTAGTCAAAGCAAAGGAAGGTTTCTCACCCATCATCTGTACTTCTTAGCAAGTTTTCCCGACGTTTCGTCCTCAAATCAGCGGACTTCTTAAGGGAATGAATTCTCAGACCGCGCGTTGGAGATTTATAACCTATGGGTGTGGTTAGCCACAGGATTAGGGTGTTGCTAACCACACCCATAGGTTATAAATCTCCAACGCGCGGTTTGAGAATTCATTTCCTGAAGAAGTCCGCTGATTTGAGGACGAAACGTCGGGAAAACTTGCGAAGAAGTACAGATGATGGGTGAGAAACCTTCCTTTGCATTGTGTCTATGGTTTATCAACACTGTGCAAGACAAATTTGGCAGGCAGAATTCAGCTCTGAAATGTGTCATCCTTGTTTGTGATTAGAATCGTTTCCATCACCTGCATCTTCCTCTGTTTGATGAAGGCGGGTTCGGCGTATCCACAGAAGAAGCGCTTGTAGTGCGCCCCCAAGAGGCCAGGCTCGCTCTGCAGCAGCAACTGAACAGGAAAATAGTCATGTCAGAAATCATTTAAGATCAAAACTTCTTTCCCTCCCATTTCACACACTTAAAACATGCTTGAAACACTAACAAGACAAATTAAGACTGCATCAATGGGGCCTGATGTTGAGAAAATTTACTTTGGGTAGAGATGGGTGTAGGTAGGTAGGTACAAATTTGTGTAGCGTGACAAGTTGTTGTAGTTTTTTTAGTAGTAATTGACTATATGTTAAGGTGATGGAACGCCCATTTTGGTCTAAATGCATAATGTGTAGAGTCATGACAGCACATACTGTATCTGTGTGGTGGTAACCTGGATACAGACTCCAAGCTGACTGACTGTTGAGTGACTGCAAAAATGTATGCAGTCATTATTTGTTGTATTCTTCATTCCACCCACCTTGTCTTCTTATTCTTCTTCTGCCAGATTGTGGCGTGTTTCAACACTTTAATCCATTTTCAAGTGTCATGCCTTCATTGTCTCATGGGTGCTATTACTTTTGGTGTATGTACAGTATCTTTTGTAGTATTTATAAAATTATAAAAGTATTATAATAATTTCTGTACTGCATTGCTTAAATGTACAGTCAGTAGTTTTTAAGATAAGATAAGATAAGATAGACTTTATTGATCTCACACAGGAGAAATTTATCTGAAATATGAATAATAATTTTGTTTCTAGCTTGTTTCGTTCCCCTGTAATCCCCAGTCGAGTAGAGGGAAGTTTTACTGAAATCCCCAAAAAGCTGAGAAAAAAAGAGTGTGCATCTAGCTGTTTTCAAACCATCCAGAGAGCGCTGCTACCACCTGCTGGCTCGATAAAATATGCTCTCAAGCTAATCAGACATAATAGACACCTGAGGACATGAAAATAGCGGAAAACGCAACTGATGTATTAATGCATCAATGGCACCCAACGTTACTATTTGCCTTGACGTATTAGTGCGGCAATGGCACACAATTAATTAAAAAGTGGCAATCAAAGAAACAGTGGCAATAGTAGTGCAGGTTTTTTTTTTTTATCCTAGTGCAAGTGACTTATTGTACAGTCTGACAGCGGTGGGGATAAAGGCCCTGCAGTAGCGCTCCTTCTTGCACTGAGGGTGCCTCAGTCTTCCACTGAAGGAGTGGAGGAGTGGAAAACTGGAAGACTCCAATCTAGCGTTGAGATCATATATTGTAGTCCATTATCTAGTGGCACGCAGTTCACAATAAGTACCAGCATTACAGCTATGGTAGCCTTCGAAGAACCGCATGCACGGAGGCTGAAAAGTAAAAAAAATTCCCTCTACTGCACAGGCTTTCTGAAGAGGCACCCACGCACTGCACAGAGCCTCACAATGACGCGGGCATGACTACGTGCAGGACGCACCGCGTAGTCATCACCACAGTCATTTTTGATGCTTATCCCCTGAATAAGTTTTGTTGAAACGTGTGGACATATTAGTTGGATTAATGCTCGAAGCGGGTCAGAACATTCCGAAGCCCGTGTTGCAGATTCTGCCTTGTTCTCATGACTGTAGGTATTTTTATTCTGTTGTGTTAACTTTTGATATGTTTTTAACTTGCTGTAGCACCTTGAGGTGTGTTCGCATATGTAAGGTGTGTTATAAATAGAATGCATTATTATTATTAGTATTACACTGCCTGCACTGGACACACAGCCCCACAGCATGATGGAAACACCACCAAATTCTACTGAAGGGAGCGTTTTTTCTTGGAACGCTTTTCACCCCTTTGTATAAAGCTTGCGGTGTGACGATTGAAAAAAAATGCATATCGATAATCGAATCGCAGGAGAAAATATAGCGATATATCGATATCGCAATAGGTTTAGTATCACCTGCAAAGGTCCAAACATCTGGAATGAGCTGGACAGTCCTATTATTCAGCAGGACTCAGGACTTTCACCATCGACTCCCACTGACTACTGTCGTTGTGTCCTTGGCAAGACACTTAACCTCTGGGAACACCATCCACAGTGGGGCGGCTGCGGCTGTAAAGTGCCAAACTGCCGTTGTGTCCTTAGGCAAGACACTTCACCCCCATTGCCTACAATGAGTCTAGTGTGTGTGAGTGGTTGGTGGTGGTCGGAGGGGCCGATGGCACATACTGGTTGCCAGTGTGCCCCAGGGCAGCTGTGGCTACAGTAGTAGTTTATCACCACCGTGTATGGAGTGAATGAATAATGACATGTGCAGCGTCTTTGAGTGTCCAGAAAAGTGTTATATAAAACCGATGCATTATTATTATTATTACTCAATCAAAATCATTGAGAACTTAAAAAAAAAGATTGAAACACAGTTTGCTCCAACATTATACAACATTATGAGCCCCGGGCTGAGAACTGTAAACGGGTAAAGCAACTTGTAATGTATTTATTGTTTTGTTCCTGTAGCATGGATGAAGTGAATTATTATGTGGCACAATTGCTGTGTTAATATCAATGTGTAAAAAGTTACTGTACTATATCTAAGACCAATCTATTGGAAAATGAACCGAATGACTGAGACAGCAACTGTGGGGACCTGTAGATGGGTGGGGTGGGATGGCTGGGGTGGGGTGGGATAGGATGGGTGGGGTTAGTGTAAGTGGGTTTGGGATTGTGTAGTAGTATGGAATGTTACACTTGTTTCTGCTGTGTTGTTTTATGTGTTATGTGTGTCATGTGTTGTTTTAGGCGCCCCGTCTATAAACTGATGCAGCTTCCTGGGAGTTCCCTTTTTACAAAACACCAACCAACGCTACATTGTAAAAGTGTATAACCAATATGGCTACGAGTTTTGTAAATAAAAGAATTGAATTGAATTGAATTGAGTTATTAATATCGATTTGTTTTTACCATATATTAGTATCAATACTTAATATATGGCTACATTTCACATCTCCATTCCATTTATCATGAAATAAAGTGTATTTTTTCACTTAATTTTTTTCTTTTATTTATGCCATAAATTGGCATATGGTATATTTCTGTCAATATATCGACAATCGTCATATCATGATAAAATCGTTATCGTGATGTTATCGTTATTGTGAGCTTTGTTCTCACCCCTATATAACGCCCATTGTTCTGCCTAAATAATTCTATTTTAGTTTAATCAGTCCACAGAACCGTATTCCAAAATTAAGCTGGCTTGTCAATAAAGCATACCTCAAGCGGCTGTGTTTGTGGCGTGTGCAAAGGTTGTAGGTCTTTGGAGCTGGTTTGTGGTTTGACTCTGACTGTTCTCATCATTCTGCACCTCTGCTTATCTGAGATTTTTTCTGCCACTTTGGGCCTTAAAGTGATGAATTACACATTTTAAGAATTGTATTAAATTGACCACCTGGCCTTAAATGTTGAAATAAAATAAGTCATTTTATGAAATAATATTACGGGTAAGTCCCACCTTCCCTTATCTTAGCTATAGCTCAAAATCCACAATGCCGTCCACTTTAACCTATCAAGTGATGCCAAGGGCTGCCAATCATCGCGCTCGTGCTCATATATAATTTGAATATGAAATATATATACATATATTCTACCGAATATTATACATCCCTTAATATTCGAAACTGTAATGGGCAATATCTTTTTTAAATGAAATATATAAAATAGTTAGTTCCCAAAGGTTTTGCCGTGAGATGTCTAGACAATAGACTGTAAATGGACGGGTAACAGCTACATGAAAAGTGAACAAAGAATGCTGAACATCGACGGTGAGTGACCCAAATATAAACTTAACCTAAATCCATCATCAAATCCTCTGCAAATGTGTCCTAAAATGTTCAACTGATGTTAATAGTTACTTCCGAGTTTACCGCGGACGCGTTTTGACAAATAAAAACAGTATTTTTGTCATGAAAACGTTAACAAATAATTCTGAAAACCTCCGTGCACGTGTGTTAAAAATGTATATGTATAATGTATTCTCCAATTAACATTTAAATGACACAGACAGAAGTAATACGTGACAGGCACTGAAAGCCCATTGTGACAAAGTGTAGGAACTACTGTCCAGAGTCATCTCAGTATTTTACACACCTGAATTACAAGCAAAGAGTGCGTTGCCAAAGGGCAGCGGTCATAATTGGTTTGAGAGTCCGTTATCAAGAAGTAATGATTGCTCTCAATGTGTTTGTCTCATAAAGGAAAGTCATTGATGCAAACTTTTGCTTACCACTGTAAAGTTTAGTACCCCAGTTTTAAGTACAGTACTAAAAGAAATACTTTCCACCTTTTTTATGCATACCCTGTCTTTTACAGACCTGTATATGCGCCAGTGCGGTGAACCTCATCTCTCGGCTGGAGCTTCCACAGATGACCAGCAGGGGCCCACACACCCTTTCCAGTGCAGAGAAGCAGACTGCAGGGAGTGAGGAGCAGAGGCAAAGGAAGAGGCGCAGTGTGGCGGCTGTGACCGGAGCGTGTGAGCTGACCAAACACGGGTCCAGCACCGACAGCATATCAAACAGCTCCCCCTCTGTCTGCGGAGGGTATCGCTCCAGAACCCTCAGCACGTCGCACTGAGCCCACACGTCACACTCCTTCAAACTGGCAACCAAACACACACACACAGAGGCAGAGGGACAAGAAGGACATGGTTATTTTTTTCTTTATAGAATGATTGCTTTTTTGTTTTACTAAAATAAACCCATATCAGTTGTCAACTAATTTGTGCTTGCATTGGGCAAGTAGATTTACAAAGCACTTGTGAAAACTGGATCCGATGAATATTTATTTATTGCATGTAACCACAGAAACCAGATACTACTGAGACAAAGCGAGTATTAAAGAGCACAGGGAAAAGTCATGATGATGTTACAAATGTACAGTATGTGAACTCACTGGCATCTGAGCCTATACAAAATGGTTTGAAATTTCTATTATATGCTTCCTGTCCATATACTCCCCCCCTGGACTGCCACCTTAACGTGGTGGGGGAGTTTGAGTACTCGGATGATCCTGGGAGCTATGCTGTCTGGGGCTTCATGCCCCTGGTAGGGCCTCCCATGGCAGACAGGTCTCAGGTGACGAGTGAGACGAAGAGCGGTCCAAAAACCACCATGGACAGCACAATAAATAGACCAGTGACGTTGCCCGGCATGGGGGCCCCACCCTGGAGCCAGGCCTGGGGTCGGGGCTTGTATGCGAGCGCCTGGTGGCCGGGCCTTAGCCCACGGGGCCCGGCCGGGCTCAGCCCGAAGGGATGACGTGGGCAGTCCCTCCTGTGGGCCCACCACCTGCAGAGGGGTCCGTGGTGGCGCGGTGCTGAGAGGACTGGGCGGCAGTCGAAGGCGGAGACCTCGGCGACCCAGTCCGCACACACAACATCTGGCTCTTGGGACGTGGAACGTCACCTCACTGGGGGGGAAGGAGCCCGAGCTCGTGGGGGTACCGAGCGATACCGACTAGAGATAGTCGGCCTCACCTCCACACACAGCTTGGGCTCTGGAACCCAACTCCTTGAGAAAGGTTGGACGCTCCACTTTTCTGGAGTTTCCCGCGGGGAGAGGCGGCGAGCTGGGGTGGCCATTCTCATTGCCCCCCATCTCAGCCGCCACGTGTTGGAGTTCTCCCCGGTGAATGAGAGGGTCGCGTCCCTCCGCCTTCGGGTGGGGGACAAGTCTCGCATTGTTGTGACGGCCTACGGGCCATACAGCAGTGCAGAGTACCCGGCCTTCTTGGAGTTCTTGGTGCACCGCCCGGGGACTCCGTTATTCTCCTGGGGGACTTCAACGCCCATGTGGGAAACGCCAGTGACACTTGGAGAGGGGTGATCGGGAAGAACGGCCCCCCTGATCTGAACCCGAGCGGTGTTCAGTTGTTGTGTCCATCACGAACACCATGTTCGAGCACAAGGGTGTCCACCAGTGCACGTGGCACCAGGACACCCTAGGCCGGAGGTCGATGATCGACTTTGTTGTCGTATCATCTGACCTTCGACCGCGTGTCTCGGACACTCGGGTAAAGAGAGGGGCGGAGCTGTCAACCGATCATCACCTGGTCGTGAGTTGGATCTGCTGGCAGGGGAAGAAGCCGGTCAGACCTGGCAGACCCAAGCGTATAGTGAGGGTCTGCTGGGAACGTCTCGCTGAGCCCCCTGTCAGACGGACTTTCAACTCACACCTCCGGGAGAGCTTCTCCCAGGTCCCGGCGGAGGAGGGGGACATGGAGTCCGAGTGGACCATGTTCTCTGCCTCAATCGGCGATGCGGCGGCTCGTAGCTGTGGTCGCAAGGTCTCTGGTGCTGGTCCCGGCGGCAATCGCCGAACCCGGTGATGGACACCGACAGTAAGGGATGCTGTCAGGCTGAAGAAGGAGTCCTATCGAGCCATGATGGTTCGGGGGACTCCTGAGGCAGCTGTCCAGTACCGGCAGGCCAAGCGTGCCGCGGCCCGGGCTGTTGCAGAGGCAAAAACCTGGGACTGGGAGGAGTTCGGCGAGTCCATGGAGCATGACTATCGGTCGGCCTCGAAGAGATTCTGGCAAACCATCCGGCGCCTCAAGAGGGGGAAGCAGTTCTTTGCCAACACCATGTACGGTGCGGGTGGAGAGCTGCTGACCTCGACTGGGGATATTGTCGGGCGGTGGAAGGAATACTTTGAGGTTCTCCTCAATCCCCCCGTCACGTCCTCTGTTACAGAGGCAGAGGCTGAGGATGTCGGGGCGGATACTTCCATCTCCCTGGCTGAGGTCACCAAGGTGGTTGGCAGCCTCCATGGTGGCAGCGCTCCGGGTGTAGATGAGATCCGCCCTGATTATCTAAAGTCTCTGGATGTTGTAGGACTGTCTTGGCTGACACGTCTCTGCAACATCACGTGGCGATCGGGGGCGGTGCCAATGGAGTGGCAGACCGGGGTGGTGGTCCCTCTCTACAAGAAGGGGGACCGGAGGGTGTGTTCCAATTATCGTGGGATCACACTCCTCAGCCTCCCCGGTAAGGTCTACTCCAAGGTACTGGAGAGGAGGCTACGGCCGATGGTCGAATCTCGGATCCAGGAGGAGCAGTGTGGTTTTCGTCCCGGTCGCGGAACACTGGACCAGCTCTATACACTCCATCGGATACTCGAGGGTTCATGGGAGTTCGCCCAACCTGTCCACATGTGCTTTGTGGATTTGGAGAAGGCGTTCGACTGTGTTCCCCGGGGTGTCCTTTGGGGGGTTCTCCGGGAGTACGGGGTCGGAGGTCCTCTGCTGAGGGCCATCCGATCCCTGTATGACAGGAGCCAGAGCTGTGTTCGCATTGCCGGCAGTAAGTCAGACCTGTTCCCGGTGAATGTTGGCCTCCGACAGGGCTGCCCTTTGTCACCGGTTCTGTTCACTGTACTTATGGACAGAATTTCTAGGCGCAGCCAGGGGTCGGAGGGGGTCCGGTTCGGAGACCACAGGATTTCATCTCTGCTGTTTGCGGACGATGTTGTCCTGTTGGCTCCAACGAACCAGGACCTGCAGCATGCACTGGGACGGTTTGCAGCCGAGTGTGAAGCGGCTGGGATGAGAATCAGCACCTCCAAATCCGAGGCCATGGTGCTCGAACGGAAAAAGGTGCCTTGCCCTCTACAGGTGGGTGGAGAGGTCCTTCGTCAAGTGGAGGAGTTCAAGTATCTCGGGGTCTTGTTCACGAGTGAGGGAAGAATGGAGCGCGAGATTGACAGGCGGATCAGTGCAGCGTGCGCAGTGATCGCTGTATCGGACCGTCGTGGTAAAGAGGGAGCTGAGCCGAAAGGCAAAGCTCTCAATTTACCGGTCAATCTTTGTTCCCTCCCTCACCTATGGTCATGAGCTTTGGGTAATGACCAAAAGAACGAGATCGCGGATACAAGCGGTCAAAATGAGCTTCCTCCGCAGAGTGGCTGGGCGCTCCCTTAGAGATAGGGTGAGGAGCTCAGTCACACGGGAGGAGCTCGGAGTAGAGCCGCTGCTTCTCCACGTCGAGAGGCCCCGGGGAAGACCCAGGACACGCTGGAGGGACTATGTCTCCCAGCTGGCCTGGGAACGCCTTGGGGTCCCCCCGGACGAGCTGGAGGAAGTGTGTGTGGATAGGGAAGTCTGGGCGTCTCTGCTTAGACTCCTGCCCCCGCGACCCGGCAACGGATAAAGCGGAAGAAAATGGATGGATGGATGCTTCCTGTCCTGTCTTAAGACCATTTGTCCAAAATAAAAGTGTTTGGACAAATAAGGCGACTCACTCATTTGGATCATTGTGACGAAGCACTCAGTCCCTCTGCATGTGTTTCATTGTTTTAGTTTCTTTACGTGAGGCGTGAAATGTGACCTTTCGGAAATCATTTATCGTCAATTATACATGTTTACTCATGTATTTTCAACTTTTAAACCCATGTATTTGTTTGCTTCCTCTTGTCTTTCATCATGGTGAGCATCTCTATCATGGAATAAGTTTTGCACATTAGGTGGTCTTGTGATGGACTGAAGCGTTTATTTACTTACTGCTTACTGCCCTAGAGCAAACCCTGGTGCATCACTTAGTGTGGGTGGAGTACCGGTACAGCAGGTGGTGTGTGATCGCCTTGTTGATAGCCACGCCTCCCTCATCCTTCAGGATCTCCTCCAGAGCTCGCAAACAGTTCACCATGACAATGGGGTCCGGGTCCCTCAGCAGACTGTATAGCTCATTCACTACCGCAGGATCTGACACAGATGCAGACACAGCTGAGGGTTTGTCCAAGTAAGTAAATAAGTCAGCTTTACGTATACAGCACATTTCAAGGAACAATTACAGGTCTGTATTTGATGAGCAGCAATGTTGCAACATGGTTCAAATATACAGTTTACACCAGCGGTCTCAAACCGGTTCCAGAAAGGGCCATGTGGCTGCAGGTTTTACTTCCAACAGTTCCAAACTGAGAAGGAGCACAGATGACTCCACCCATTTCCTCAAATCTTCAGGTTAAAACTGGACCCACCTGAGGAAATGGGTAACTGTTGGAAGTAAAAGCTGCAGCCACATGGCCCTTTCTGGAACCGGTTTGAGACCCCTGGTTTACACACTCAACCAGAGATTTTATTGATTTTTTCCTTTTTTTTATTTAAAAGTGGTGGATAAAGAATTCCATCCAAAACTACCACAAAGGACTGTTGTCCATGTTGAAGGATCTATTGAGACTTCTGATCAGGGTCAGAAGATAAGTTTCTGTTGCCTCTATATTGGAAAATAGAAACCACCTTTAGTTGACATTACATGGCTTTACATAAAATGAGTGAGACGTTTTATTGCATTATCATTCATGATGTCCAAATTATGGCCAAAAGAATTGCAGTCTCACCGATATCCACGCCTGGATCTAGGTTGTGCACTTTGGCCCATCCCAGCACTGCCACTCTCCTCACACATGCAGCCCTGTCCCGGAGCCCAGAGGAGAGAGGCTGCTCCACGTACTCTACCAAACCTGGTAACCTGCAACACACACACACTTTCACTTAAGGCACTCCTTTTTTCATACATAGTCGAGAAAATTTTAATTTACCCTTGAAGAGCAGATATGTTCATATGTAAGAAAATCAGCTCTTGGGGGCGTAGAGATATGTGCAGCGTTTTGTAAATAATAGAAAATCAGTTGTGCTTCACTAATGTGGATAATTTTTCTCCCTGGTTTGGGAAATTTGGGAAAAGCATTTATAAACTCATTGCGGAGAACAATTTTGAAGGTTTGGGCCACTGCAAACTGTTAAAAAAATCTGCATTGATCATTTAAAGCAGTAAAAGGAACTTTCTGTCGAAGGTACGTTTAACGAGGAACAAAGATGGAGGTCTGAGTATGTGAGACTGTGAAGACTACAGTATAAGGCTCTGGTAAATCAGAGATGAAGTCCGGCCTGAACTGGAGCCAAGTTAAGTCTTTAAGGTAAGTCTTACCTGTCCACCCTGTAGCCGGGTATCTGCTTTACAGGAGATATTTTTTCTTCGTTTGCACCTGTCATCCACATGCATCATAAACAAATATATAAAAAAACGGGCAAAGAGAAGATTTTTTTAAAACTCTGTTTATGCATTTGCATGTAGACAGAGACAACCGGAGTTTTGCGTTTTCGCACGCCACAATATGACCCCAAAACAACAACAAAGGAAGCATGGAGTGAAAACTGTGGTTCCACCGGATCATGCTGCGTGGGTTCAGCGGCAAGATGCAGTGAAAGGAGATGAACATCCTTGCTCCTCATCAGAGAGCAGCAAAGGGACTCTCGAAAACATCCAAAACAGGAGCTAAACCAGGATTCAACCAGGGCTGAGGACACAGTGCTTGTGAAGATATGTCTTTACCCTGAATTTCTACAGTGACTGTAAAAGTGCCGCTACAGAAGTAACGGCGTTAGCATCAAAGCTCCGCCCACTTCTGTGTTTTTCCCCAATACAGCATGTCAGAGGACGTACAGGTGTGGATGAGGTTTTTTTTAGAAAACGGAGTAATGTGGATACAAATAATCTTATAAACGGAGAGGGGAAATATTCGGTTTTAAAAATACCCGGCTATGTGTGGACATGGCTTGAGTCGAAATGTGATCTTTGTGTGTCAATCTAAACATAAATGTACTAATTTTGTTCAAGAAAATCCAAATCCATATTCAATCAAAGTAATCAATTCAAATGACCTCCTTATGCAAAAAAATAACCACAGATGCAAAAGATGATGAGCTATAAACAAACCTTCCAATGTATTTCCAGTAATATCCATATAATAACCACTAGGAATGTCCTAGCACACACATATGTCTAGAATAAAAAATACCTTCAGCCTGACCTGGGATAGTTTGGACCAGTGTGGGGTGTGGCATGTACCTCACATTGGTCACCCTGCTGGAGAAGGGTGGGGTGTGACACGTACCTCAGATTGGTCATGTTACGCAGAGCCAGGCTGCGCACCATGGGGTTGGCATCCTGACAGTCCTTCCGCAGAGTGTTGATGACGAGCAGAGACAAATCTGGTTTGAGTGCGGCATACGAACACAAAAACACATAGACCTGTTTCTTCTGCACAATGTCCACCGTGGCACAGGCTTTGACCATCTCTGGAAACAGCCCTGACACGTCCACCCCCTGTGACATGGCTCTGAAAGGACATAGAGAAAACATCAGGGTACCATAGTATATTTTGATAACTGTAATATTTAAACGATTTTGTGTCCAATTACAATACAGCAAGATAGTCCCAGTAAACATAATCCTATTTGTTTTTAAAGGAGACTATCTGTTCTAACAGGAACTTCCCGCTTCCCCTTCAGTCTAAAAGCTCCTGTAATAGTATGATGTCATTGTACCACTATGACATCGCACTCAAAGCAGTTTTCTGCCTTTTAAAACACAAGTAAATCAGCCGGTAATTTTCAAATTTGCAAAGAAAATAAAAACAAATTCTATTCCTCCCTCTGCTGGTCGCATAGGGATACAGCAGGCCAAAATGTTTATCCTCCATACTTGTTTCCCCATATAATTTCTACAGAGGATATCCTTTCACATTCTAAAACGTTGCATTTTTAATGGCCAAAAACAATGTGCAATATTTCTTCTTTAAATCACAACGACTTAGTTTATCTACTTGTCCATTTGTCTGCCTGGATAGGCTGCCAGGGAAAGCATTTGGGCAACAATTATAGCTGGGTACTTTTTTACTTTTCATAAATAACACATGTAATTTGTCCCAACAGACATTCTTGTAAAAGTAAATCGTGAAAATGTCAGAACACTACATGCTGTCTTCACCTTATTAGAAAACATTTTATCTTTTGCATCCTTTAGCAAACTGTGAGTCACTATTTGACACTGAGTGAGGGGGATCTTGTCTTTTTCATCATTCTGTCTGAAAAAGATGATCTAAAAAATACATGCATGTGAGAAATAGTGATAGAAGCTGTTTTTCTGGTTCGAAAGGTAGGTTCCCCAACTTTAAATGAATTGAAATGCTCTTAAGTGGATAAAGCTTAATACCGTATGACTCTTGTGATGGTGCTCCGGTATCTGAGGAGGTCAGACTGCACATTGGGGTTGCACAGCGCCCGCCTCAGCTCCTTCACTGTGTCCTCTCCACTCACGTACGGCATCTTCTGACCGCACACTGGCCGCAGACACAGGCCGCACACTGGCCGCACACTGACCGCACACTGGCCGCAGACACAGGCCGCAGTCTGAGTAGAGGGAAGAGAGAAGCATCAACATGAGACACTGTTTCAATCATTGTGTACTGAAATATGATCTTGAGCCTTTACTTTGCCACTTCATATTTTAGATCTAACATCTGTATAAAAGATGTGTTAGGGACATGAGATAATATTTGAAGTGTGTCACAATAATTAAAACATACCACACAGTAGAGCCTTTTCTACATATCACATTTGATAATTAATGTATGATATGATATAATATCTTTGCCCAAGTTTCTTTTGCAATAGAAATGGATGACGGTTTACCAAGTTTTTTGTAATAAGTTTACATCTGAGCTGTAGATGTTTGAATAAGTTGCTCTCAATTCTGCAGATTTTTTTAAGCTGCAGGTTGGATTGAAGTTGATGTACTTATTTCAAACCTGCACAAGACATAATAACACACATTTGAACACATTCATACAAAAAATTGGTTCTTGCCTTTTAGGGTGACAGAACCCAGGACACTTTCTATACATTGACCTGGCTTCACACAAATGTTGCATTTTTTTTTTTTTTATCATTATATATTTTTCTTTTATATATTTCAGTTATAGATGTTAGTGGTCTCCTCTCATTCAGTTGCAGGGCTCCACCTTTTGTCTGCCCCACGTCCAATTTCTGAGAAAAACTAATGGGTTAAATGAACAACAGTAACAAAGAATGAAGGTAGCTATTAGAAGTCACGTCTTCAGCTTTTTTAGACATAAAACTGAAGAAGAGAGAATTACCCTCACTCACTATTAGAACACATTCGAGGCAATCGGCTCTACTGTGTAGTGTGTTGTTGTCTGATTTGTTCACAGTATTTTACTTTGACAACAATTGTTCTGTGGTACAAACTATAAAATATATGTATTATTTATAAATAAAGGTTAGGTACCCCATCTTTAACACAACTCGGCTTGTTCGCATCATCACGTAGCAAGCTTAACGTTATTTACGCGTCATAAAAAGCGCTATGGGACGACTACAAATCCAACACAAGAAAAACAACAACTGAAGGCAGAGAACAGAGCAATTCTCAGAAGGAAATAAATGACAATGACTAGGGGCATTTTATCTTTGATAGTTTCTCACCGTCTGCCTTGTGTTTACATGCAGCAGGCGCCGGAGAACTTCCGGGTTGACAATGACGTCACTGTACGCCTCAAGCCGCTGAAACGTGTACTGCAGCTGTAATAACACATGCAGAAACTATTATAAACTGTCTATGACACACCTCAAACACAAGGCCCGCGGGTCAAATCCGGCCCTTGAAATAATTTATTTTTTAATGACTCACTTTCAGAATTTATGGTAATCAAATTTAAAAAATAAAAATAAAATAAATCAAATCATTGGCATATCAGTCAATATTTACAAGCCTTCTTCACCCTTGGTCCAGTATTCGTTCAATCTAAACAAACAAGTATCTGTATTTCTTTTGTTCAGAATCAATACCAGAAAATAATATCCAAACTCATGTCATAGGTAATCATTTTGTTAAAATGCATTAAACAAGTACATGTATTTTCCTTTTTTCTCTGCATTAAGTATTCACTTTCATAGTTTTGGCTCCTGACCAGCTAGTGCTGGTTCGGCCCCAGAGCAAAATGAATTTGATACTCCAGCTATATTTACAGCGGTATGACACAACATTTTCAGAAATTCAATTCAATTAACTTTTGTATAGCCCTAAACCATAACAATAGTTTTCTCAGAGTTTATCTGCCAACACAGATCAGAAAATCAAACTGAAAATACAATGATAATAAACACATGAGCCATTGGTCCATAAGGGGCGGATGACTAGAATCCAAAGTCCAATTGAATGTTGAGTGTCCTGGATCATCACCACTGTCCTTGATTCCTCCTGCATCGGCAAGGAAAGACTAATAAAACTCAGTGGGAGAAAATGAAAAACCTCTGGGAGGCCCACATTGAGGGAGGGATCCACTCTTTGCAGATGGAGCGATGTTACGGAGGTGGAAAAATTATGTCTTGGAGATGAGGTTAATGTGGGGTCTAAATGAGAGGGTGGAGTCCACAATAACGCAGAGGTTGCGTACAGAGGAGGAGGGAGTGACTTTGTGGCCGTCAATGTTGAGGGAGATGTTTTGAGCAGAGGGAAGGAGTGACTTGGGTCCGGTGATGAGGAGTTCGGTTTTATTGCTATTTAGTTTCAAGAAATTGTAGCCTGGCCTTAGCCATCCGCACACTCCGTTCAATCATCATTTCACTCCATGTAACGTCTGGGTCTAGTCCCTATGTTAGCGATTACAATCGGTTGAATTTCGACCGACCATTCAGAGAGCGCGGAAGGCAGGTGTTGTAGTCAGTTGTGGGTGATGTCAAGAGTTTGCGTCGAACAGGCAGGTTGTAGTTTGGCAATGGCGAAAAATGTGATAGTAAAGTAATCCGGTCTGGTTCTATCAAGAAATTGAAGCCGGAGCAAGGGTAATGTTTAGCAAATGTAATCGCTGGAAAAATTGTGGCGCTACTCCGTTAGCGGCAAAGGAGATGGCAAGGCTAAATTCTAAATGCTAACAACAGACTCGGGCGCACTACATACGTCACGGTAAACTCAGATCCAATCGTTTCAATCTGCAAAAGGAGTTAACCCCTCATATCTGTAAACGGAGCTCAATGGAGCACGTCCAGACCTTAGTGCGAAATGTCATTTGTACTATGGTGTGGTACGACCAGGCTAAGAAATTGTATACCATCCAGAATTTGAAGTCAGAGACGCAGTGTGTGATGGTGGAGAGGAGACTGGGGAGATGGATTTGGTGGAGATGTAGACCTGGGTGTCGTCGGCGTAGCAGTGAAAGTGTAGTCCATGGTGACGGATGATGTGGCCAAGGGGAAGCATGTAAATTTTGAAGAGGAGGGGGCCCAGTACCGAACCTTGGGGAACACCAGTGGATAAGATCAGTGGCGTGCTAATGAGTTAGGAGTGGCAGACCACGGGGCTTTCCCCTCACCTTGTCTGGCCCCATGTCTCACTCTCAGGCTTCCTCCTTCCTCATCTCCCTCCCCATCTCCTTTTGTACTCAAGGCAAAGGTGTTCCAATTTTCGTCACACATACAGCCTTTTTAAAACCCACCACCTATTTAGCACTCACTGACACTCGCTCCTTGTCTAATGTGAAAAAGGGAAGAGTGCTATTGAGAGTTCGTAATGTCAATGATTCACCAATATACCTCTACAGACCTCAGAGGTTGGCTAGGACATTTGCAATAGTCTCTGCTGACATCCTGCCAGAAAATGATGTAAAAATTACTGGTGGAAAGAGTGGAAATGTGCTGTCTCCTCTGTCTGGTGCACACTGGGGTAGTCTTGACAGTTTTTCCAATGTGGTTTTCCTGTAAACGGCAAATCATTTCTTGAATTAAAGCTTGAATTGAATTGAATTGTAGGTGGTGACTCTGTGAGAGTACAGACCCAATCACACCCCATTCTGAACCATGTGTCTTCCCTGATCTAACAAACTCTGATCTCCCTGCACAACAAATTCAGACAATGATGAGGACTATGGGTTGACCCGCACTGTACAGCATGAGATCCCAACTGGCACTGCCCCCCCAGTGAGGAAACCCTACAGACAAATTCCACCTAATATGTATCAAGTTTTGCCTCGCATCTATGACGACGTCCTAAAAACAACGCCCTAACTATAAGATCAGTGATGTGCTAATGAGTTAGGAGTGGGGAGACCTGCACTCCACTCCAGCAATCTCAGCAATAAGACAATGTCAGACAATAGGTCTGTGACATGCTAATGAGTTATGATCGTTAGCCGCAGCAGGTTCGTTAGACCTGCTCCCTACCACATCAAACAGTCCTTAGATTGTTAATGAGTTAGAATCAGGATTAGGGTGTGGCAAACCACACCCATAGGTTATAAATCTCCAACGCGCAGTCTGAGATCTCATTCCCTGAAGAAGTCCTTCAGATGAAGGACAAAACATCGGGAAAAAAGAAGAACAGATGATGGGTGAGAAACCTTCCTTTGCTTTGACTAATCCCTGTACGACTGAGAGCTTACACAAATGTATCAAGAAGTGAAAAGTCTACTTCAAGGAACGTTAACTTCAGAAATGATTGAGCCCAGCTCCAGCCCGTGGGCTTCCCTCATTGTGTTAGTCCGCAAAAAAGATGCCACATTGAGATTTTGTGTGGACTCAATTCAGTAACTTATAAAGATGCACTCCCTTGCCAAAAATAAGAGTCTCTCGCTAGCTTGGGTAATGCTAAATTGTTCTCCTCTCTCATACACTTTATCTCTGCTTGGTGTGAACAGGTCAGTCCCATATTGCACAAACTAACATTTATTTAGGATTTTTATGTTTTGCATTTCCTGTTGTAATCTATTTGGTCTCATACACTGGTCTTCGGCCCAGCGGTGCTGCTCGGCATTTAAGGCCTGCAGGAGACAAAGCCACACCAAACTGCTCTTATCCTGACGAATCCTTTTAAAGCTTGCATCCCTAACTTTTAGACTCCAGACTCTCCCCTCTAATTTTAACCCAAATAGCTTTTATCCCCATACTTTTTAATTATTCTTTTTGTAATATATAGTTTGAAACTTTTAACAAATGGTTTTCATGTACCCTGGTGAACTGAACCAAAGTTATAAATAAAACAATAAACACACCACAGCTTATGCAATATCAGATCTTTATTCAGAGATTCAGAGTCTCCATTATGCATCTGTGAAAAAGAAAATGAGGATGAGATTAAATACAGACTGAAATATATGAATCACTACATGTATCACAATTGTGGCATGACTAAAGATCCTTTGCCCCAAAACCAGTTTTGTGTGTGTGGAGGGATTTGAGAACATTTAGAATGTTTTACTATACATTTTTGTTCTGAACAGCGACTGATAACTATAATAAATATTTACCACGAGCTACTGTCAAAGAGGAACACTGATGTTAGATGTACTTTTTATGTTTCTTTACCGGTGCAGATGTAGGCGTACTCCAGGTACAGAGATGTGTTTGAGCAGGAGTCGCCCACCACAGCTTGAGACGCACGAAGTTCACAGGTGTTCTTCCCATCACACCTGAGGAAAAAACAAGTCCTGCTTTAGACCCAACAAATAGACCCAATAAGGCCTGCTTTAGACCTGCTTTCCTCCTGTTTTAGTCCTGCTTTAGACCTGCTTTGGATAAAACGGGTCAAAAGCAAGTATATATCAGACCATGCTTTAAACCTGCTTTGGGCATACTTTAGTCCTGCTTTAGGTATGATTTAGTCACAGTTTGATCCTGCTTTGGATATGCTTTAGTTCTGCTTAAGTACTATTATAGGCCGGCTTCAGTCCTGCTTTGGGGATGCTTTAGTCCTGGTTTAGTCCTGCTTCAGTCCTGCCTTAGTCCTGCATTAGTATTGCTAATGCAGAACTAGATATTTTGGTCCTGCTTTGGGTATGCTTTAGTTCGAGTGTTGTCCTGGTTTAGTCCTCTTTTGTACCTGCTTTAGTCATTATTTGAATAAGCTTTAGTCCTGGTTTAGTCTCCTTCTTATAGCCCCATATTTAGGGTGCATTCACAGTTAGGCTGTGAAGCAGAAAGGGGAAAATGCTTCATGTGAATCCACCTTACTACCCTTCCAGTAAATTAATTGTATTGTATTACGCATTTGTGCCCTTTCTAGTTAATTAATGCACAGCTGCATAAGTTTTAGTCCTGCTTCAGCTCGGGTTATAGACCTGGTTTAGACCTGGACCCTTTTTAATTAGTGGCATCTTGAAATCAGGAGAATGACGATAGCTCAAACATACATAATAACCTATTCTAAATAGAACTTCAGTGAGATATAAGAGGGAAACCGATATTTTTGATCATTCTGCTTCTCCTCCTCAAACAGGAACATGACCTCTGACTTTGAGCCTCACTTTTCGGCCACAAACGGAGCGTCATTGGTGCAATCAATCTTCTCTACTTCGGACTTCTGTCGTCTGAAGGCACAAGTTGTGTGGTCTCTGCGTCCGAAATCAGCTCCCAGCACTTTGATCACTTTTCCCGCAGCTGAAAGTACATACTTACTTGTAACTTTTGTTTGAAATTTTAAATAATATTTTTTAGAAGAAAATATATGAATTAACATGTATAAAAAGTGACAAAACTGTAAAATTACACACACTATCAAGCAGTTTGGAGGTCTCCCATCACAGTACTATCCAGGCTGTGCCATGCTTATCTTTCTGAGGTATATCTGAATCAAACTTTCACCAGCAGGTGGCGCCACAATAGATGTGTGCATAACTTGAAGAGGTGATTAGTTCCTGAGGTGATTCAACCAATTTGTTTTGGTAAAGCACTAACCAATGCACGTTGAGGATTCAATACGTTGGTTAATCTAAACAATATCGCCTTAACTGATGAGGTTGGTAGTGTTTTTAGTGTGTATGTTGTAGCATAGTTAAAACCTCAATAATGATGATCATGAATTCATAATATTTAGAAATAGAAGATTTAACTGTCCAGATATTAATATTGTGACAGGCTGAAGTTCTTTGAAATGAATGCATTTTTATAACACAATTCAGTCTTACCGCAATTCAGATAGGCCATTGAGTGCTCACACACGACTCTATGAGCTGTGGACAAATGAAAAACAGAAGCCTTATTAGGAGTTAAGTTAACAGTCAACTGAAACATTCATATGAAATCTCTTCCTTTACTTTTCCTATAAAAAACTGGAGCTGCCATTTGTTCTAAGCAGAAAAGAAACTTTTGTGGACTTGGGAGCAGGTTTACGCCACATTTGATACAAATATTATGTATGTCTTTAACTACTTCATAAATCACACAACAACACTTTGATTATTTGTTACTTGGTTTTTTATCAACTTCAGTTCCCCTGTGGTTTCATTTTAGTTTACTTTCTGTTCTGTTCCCTATGTATATTCTGTGCCTCTCTGTGCCTCTCTGTGCCTCTCTGTGCCTCTCTGTGTCTCTCTGTGCCTCTCTGTGCCTCTCTGTGCCTCTCTGTGCCTCTCTGTGCCTCTCTGTGCCTCTCTGTGCCTCTCTGTGCCTCTCTGTGCCTCTCTGTGCCTCTCTGTGCCTCTCTGTGCCTCTCTGTGCCTCTCTGTGCCTCTCTGTGTCTCTCTGTGCTCATCAGCTTTTGTTGCTGGTCCAGTGTCTATGTCCGTGTTTCCGTTTGGAATTTTTACCTTAAACTTATACATTTACCATCATTAAATCATACTATTTTTCCATTCCTGCATTTCAGATCAATATGAAAATTGCCTCAACACACTGGTGGCAGTAGATGGACACACAAGGGCACACAGGGATAAAGGGCACTCACTGGCGGGCACACAGGGATAAAGGGCACTCACTGTCGGGCACACAGGGAAAAAGGGCACTCAAGGGCACACAGGGATAAAGGGCACTCACTGGCGGGCACACAGGGATAAAGGGCACTCACTGGCAGGCACACAGGGATAAAGGGCACTCACTGGCGGGCACACAGGAGTAGCTGGTTTCCATGTATTTGAAGGTGTCACTGCATGGGTCCTGTTCAAACACGGGGGAGTTCAGCTCACATGTTTTCTTGCCGTTGCATCTGAAAGAGAAAGAAGGTGTTTCAAACATTCGTCATAGAAGGAGCTTACAAATTAGAAAAGCTGTGGTCGAGAGCAGATCCCCCTAGGTTTTTAGTGCATTTATTTGTTTTAAGTATTTTATAATACATTGTGTTATCTTGCTTTTTTAATCCAGTGGTCTCTTTTAAAACCGGGTCCAAAGAAACTGTTACCACCTGTGACATGCGCAGCAGGCTTAAACCAGCCACTAGCCACACAAGGTGTGTTTTGACCACGTTTTACCTGGTTAAATCTTTTTTTTGTTCCACTTCAAAGCTGAATAAAAACCGTTGAAGTAAATCCCTAGAAGCGAATCTATTTATCCTCAGTTTCCCGTGTTTTTCTCTGGTTTATAAATTAATCTTCTTATTAAGCATGCACACCAGGAAGCAACACAGCTGGAGTTTTTGTGTGACCTACTAGTCGTGACATGTACATTATGTTCTGTCCTATTTCATCGGGAAAGATGGCTACAGCTAACACTTTTTTCTTCATTGTTGAGAGCTGTCTTGCTTTTAGGGCCCTCAAAACCAGGTGTAGTGTTAAGAGAGGTGAAATGGGGACAGGCCCAATGCTGTCACCTGTGGCGGAAAACGTTAAGGGCGTCTGCGTGGGAGCAGGCTGTGTTAGCGACCTCTGCTGGAGACTTTCCGCCAGCGCACGTGAGGCTGTTGGCTCTGCCGTAGAACGCACTGTCCACACTGATCACACCATCGTCTATGGACACACACACACACACACACACACACACACACACACACACACACACACACACACACACACACACACACACACACACACACACACACACACACACACACACACCCCCGTTTGAGACGTTGTAAGGACATTTTTTCTAAAATCCCTTTAAACCAGACTGTACATAGGTATACGGGGACACTGGGTTCCTGTGGTGCTAGAGCCTCAAAAATCATATCAATGATCATGAAAAAAATCACAGAACCTATACACGGCTTAAAATTTTAAGATTTCCTTTGCTGCACTGAGATATAAAAAATGACTGTTTTCAAGACTTTTCAGGGGTTTGTAAAGACTTTTCAAAAACACGGTCTATAAGGACAGTGTGGTTTACAAGGTCAGTGATGTCATCATACACACACACACTATGTATAACCTGGTTTGAAAGGACACATGGTCTGTGAGGCCTGGTCCGCACACACATACACTGTGTATAACCTGGTTTGAAAGGACACATGGTCTGTGAGGCCTGGTCCGCACACACATACACTGTGTATAACCTGGTTTGAAAGGACACATGGTCTGTGAGGCCTGGTCCGCACACACATACACTGTGGAAAACCTGTTCTGAAAGGACACATGGTGTGTAAGGCCAGGTCAACACACACATACACTGTGTATAACCTGGTTTGAAAGGACACATGGTGTGTAAGGCAAAGTCAACACACACATACACTGTGTATAACCTGGTTTGAAAGGACACATGGTCTGTGAGGCCTGGTCCGCACACACATACACTGTGGATAACCTGTTCTGAAAGGATAAATGGTGTGTAAGGCCAGGTCAACACACACATACACTGTGGATAACCTGTTCTGAAAGGACACATGGATAATGAGGCCAAAGAGACTGAGGCACATCATTATAATAATCAATAATCTATGGAGGATTGCTTTTTTAAGAGTTTGAATTGTCTCTGCAAACACGTGTAGAGCTTATTCTTCAGTCTACTGCCAAACTTTGTCATGTATTCCCTTGATACCTTCACTGAATTCCAGTTATTCCTAGTTTCAACTGGCTTCACCGTCTCTATCCTGCACTTAAATAGATGATACATCTATAATCACTCCATTCTAAAAGAAAATGAGATCAAGCAACAAAAGGTTTACAGACATAACTGCCTCTTACCAACAGAGACGTGTCAATCACACACAAACTATATCTGTATCCACCAGAACTCAACTGCCAATCTGCAAGCATGCAGATACCCAACTCCCGATAACGACATTGTCACAATATCTTTAAAATCAAAAATGGTTACACAAAATGATCTGCAATGTTTTGCTTGCCATGGCATCTATAGATAAGAGACAGTGTAGATCAAAAATGAAGCTTTTTATTTTCTGAAGTGCTACACACATCTTTGCAAAACATGCACTAACATATATTAACATTAAAAATCTGATTCAAGAAACACAGAAAAAACACATCCAAAAAGGCTCAATATTTACTGAAATGTACAAATCAGAATCAGAATCAGAATCAGAATCATTTTTATTGCCAACGTAAGTAACGGGAGGTCACAGACTTGGAAATTGCTTTGGCTCAGTGCAACAGTCAAAAAGAGATAATAAAAATAAGAATAAAAAACACTTCTAAAGAATAAATTTAAATTTAAAATAGAGTTACAGTTACTATTTACAATATACAAGTGCACATGGTGCACACAATGTAAGGTGACAGCAGTACAGTGAAGTAAAGTGACGTATGATGGGCAGTAAAGTGACTTTATAAAGGGCGGGGGGACAGGTTAAGAAGTGTTCAAGAGTCCAACAGCAGAGGGGAAGAAACTGTTCTTGTGGCGGGAGGTTCTAGTCCTGATGGACCGCAGCCTCCTGCCTGAGGGGAGTGGTTGGAATAGTCCATGTGCAGGGTGAGAGGGGTCGGCTGTGATACGACCAGCCCGGCCTCGAGCTCGGGCGACGTACAGGTCCTGCAGCGATGGAAGGCTGCGGCCGATCACTTCCTCTGCAGAGCGCACAATGCGCTGTAGTCTCTGTTTGTCCCTGACTGTGGCTCCAGCGAACCACACGGTGATGGAGGAGGTGAGGATGGACTCGATGATGGCCGTGTAGAACTGCACCAACATCTGTGCAGGCAGCTTGGCTTTCCTGAGCTGCCGCAGGAAGTACATCCTCTGCTGGGCCTTCTTGATGAGGGAGCTGATGGTCGGCTCCCACTTGAGGTCCTGGGTGATGGTGGTGCCCAGGAAACGGAAGGACTCCACAGAGGTGATGGGGGAGTCCATCACGGAGGGTGGGGGCGGGGGGACAGTGCTCTTCCTGAAGTCCACAATCATCTCCACTGTCTTCTGGGCGTTCAGCTCCAGGTTGTTACCACTGCACCAGGACACCAGCCGGTCCACCTCCCTCCTGTAGGCGGACTCATCGTTGTTGGAGATGAGTCCAATGAGGGTGGTGTCGTCCGCGAACTTGATCAGCTTCACGGAGTCGTGGCTGGAGGTGCAGTGGTTGGTGTACAGGGAGAAGAGCAGGGGAGAAAGAACACAGCCCTGTGGGGCTCCTGTATTTATAATCCAAGGGTCCGAGACATTCTTCCCCAGACGCACTCGCTGCTTCCTGTCCGTCAGGAAGTCAGTGATCCACCTGCAGGTGGAATCGGGCACGTTGAGCTGGGAGAGCTTGTCCTGGAGCAGGGATGGCAGGATTGTGTTGAAGGCAGAGCTGAAGTCCACGAACAGGACCCTGGCGTAGGTCCCCGGGGAGTCCAGGTGCTGTAGGATGTGGTGGAGGGCCAGGTTAATGGCGTCGTCTACAGATCTGTTGGCTCTGTAGGCGAACTGCAGGGGGTCCAGGAGGGGGGAGGTGAGGGACTTGAGATGGGAGAGAACCAGGCGTTCAAATGACTTCATGACGACAGACGTAAGTGCTACAGGTCTGTAGTCATTGAGTCCTGTGATCCTGGGCTTCTTCGGGACGGGGACAATGATGGAGGATTTGAAGCAGGCCGGGACATGGCAGGACTGCAGAGAGGAGTTGAAAATGTCCGTGAACACAGGAGTAAGCTCACTGGCGCAGTGTCTCAGAGTGGCCGGAGACACGTGGTCCGGGCCAGGAGCTTTGCGGGGGTGCAGCCTCAGGAAGAGTTGTTTAATCTCTTTAGCGGCTATTGTTAGGCTGGGGGCAGGGCTGATGGGTGGGTCGTTAGAGTAGTTAGAGTAGTGGGGGGTGGGGGAGGGAGAGGTGTCAGGGGCAGCATCAAAGCGACTGAAAAATAAGTTCAGATCGTCAGCTAGCTTGTGGTCATCAGCACAGGGGGGGGCTTTGGGTTTGTAGTTGGTGATCTCCCGTAGGCCCCTCCAGACAGAAGCAGTATCGTTGTTACCAAACTGCTCCTGTAGTCGTTCTCTGTGCCGGGACTTGGCTGCTTTCAGTTCTTTCCTGAACTGATATTTAGCTGCTTTGTAGCCGCTGCGGTCCCCCTCCCTGAAAGCAGACTCCTTTGCTTTCCTGAGCTGCCGGAGTTTAGCAGTGAACCAGGGTTTGTCGTTGTTATAGATGACCCTGGTCCTTGTTGGAATGATGCTATCCTCACAGAAGTGGATGTATGACGTCACAGTGTCCGTATATTCATCCAAGCTGTCTGTGGCAGCTCTGAAAAGGTCCCAGTCTGTAGATAAAGCAGTGATTGGCTTTTTAGGCACACATTAGACCAATGGGCATCTTTCCTTCTCTAATTGTAATATGTATTGGAAAATAAAAAAGATAATACAATAAAGCATATCTTCAAATTGGCTTTCACGAAATTATTGTCTACGATATATTTTGCCCACTCCTAATCACTTCCCCACCAGGTGTGTCACTGGTCTAAGGCGTGTCCAGGTGTGTCACTGGTCTAAGGCGTGTCCAGGTGTGTCACTGGTCTAAGGTGTGTCCAGGTGTGACACTGGTCTAAGGTGTGTCACTGGTCCATGGCGTGTCACTGGTCCATGACGTGTCCAGGCGTGTCACTGGTCCATGGCGTGTTTACGGCGTGTCACTGGTCCATGAAGTGTCCATGGCGTGTCACTGGTCCATGCTGTGTCACTGGTCCATGGCGTGTCACTGGTCCATGACGTGTCACTGGTCCATGACGTGTCCAGGCGTGTCACTGGTCCATGGCGTGTCCGGGCGTGTCATTGGTCCGTGGCGTGTCCAGGCGTGTCACTGGTCCATGGCGTGTCACTGGTCCATGGCGTGTCCAGGCTGCTCACACCCAGACACGCCATGGACCAGTAACACGCCGTGGACACGTCACGGAGCAGTGACACGCCTGGACACGCCATGGACACGTCATGGATTAGTGACACGCCTGGACATGCCATGGACCAGTGACACGCCCAGACACGTCATGGACCAGTGACACGCCCGGACACGCCATGGACCAGTGACACGCCTTGAACACGTCATGGACCAGTGACACGCCCGGACACGCCATGGACCAGTGACACGCCCGGACACGGCGTGGACACGTCATGGACCTGTGACACACCGTGGACACATCATGGACCAGTGACACGCCTGGACACGCCATGGACCAGTGACACGCCTGGACACGTCATGGACCAGTGACACGCCCGGACACGCCATAGACCAGTAACACGTTGTGGACACGTCATGGACCTGTGACACACCGTGGACACGTCATGGACCAGTGACACGCCGTGGACCAGTGACACGCCGTGGACACGTCCTGGACCTGTGACACACCGTGGACACGTCATGGACCAGTGACACGCCTGGACACGCCATGGACCAGTGACACGCCATGGACACGTCATGGACCAGTGACACGCCGTGGACACGTCACGGAGCAGTGACACGCCTGGACACGCCATGGACACGTCATGGACCAGTGACACGCCATGGACCAGTAACACGCCCGGACACGTCATGGACCAGTAACACGCCGTGGACACGTCACGGAGCAGTGACACGCCTGGACACGCCATGGACACGTCATGGATTAGTGACACGCCTGGACATGCCATGGACCAGTGACACGCCCAGACACGTCATGGACCAGTGACACGCCCGGACACGCCATGGACCAGTGACACGCCTTGAACACGTCATGGACCAGTGACACGCCCGGACACGCCATGGACCAGTGACACGCCCGGACACGCCATGGACCAGTGACACGGCGTGGACACGTCATGGACCTGTGACACACCGTGGACACATCATGGACCAGTGACACGCCTGGACACGCCATGGACCAGTGACACGCCTGGACACGTCATGGACCAGTGACACGCCCGGACACGCCATAGACCAGTAACACGTTGTGGACACGTCATGGACCTGTGACACACCGTGGACACGTCATGGACCAGTGACACGCCTGGACACACCATGGACCAGTGACACGCCCGGACACGCCATGGACCAGTGACACGCCGTGGACCAGTGACACGCCGTGGACACGTCCTGGACCTGTGACACACCGTGGACACGTCATGGACCAGTGACACGCCTGGACACGCCATGGACCAGTGACACGCCATGGACACGTCATGGACCAGTGACACGCCGTGGACACGTCACGGAGCAGTGACACGCCTGGACACGCCATGGACACGTCATGGACCAGTGACACGCCATGGACCAGTAACACGCCCGGACACGTCATGGACCAGTGACACGCCCGGACACGCCGTGGACACGTCATGGACCAGTGACACGCCTGGACACGCCATGGACCAGTGACACGCCTGGACACGCCATGGACCAGTGACACGCCTGGACACGCCATGGACCAGTGACACGCCTGGACACGCCATGGACCAGTGACACGACCGGACACGTCATGGACCAGTGACATGCCTGGACACATCATGGACCAGTGACACGCCTGGACACGCCATGGACCAGTGACACGCCACGCCGTGTCACTGGTCCATGGCGTTTCACTGGTCCATGGCGTGTCCAGGCGTGTCACTGGTCCATGACGTGTCCATGGCGTGTCACTGGTCCATGACGTGTCCAGGCGTGTCACTGGTCCATGACGTGTCCAGGCGTGTCACTGGTCCATGGCGTGTCCAGGCGTGTCACTGGTCCATGGCGTGTCCAGGCGTCTCACTGGTCCATGACATGTCCGGGCTGCTCACACCTGGACACACAACTTAGACCAGTGACACGCCATGGACCAGTGACACGCCTGGACACGCCATGGACCAGTGACACGCCATTGACCAGTGACACGCCATGGACACGTCATGAACCAGTGACACGCCATGGACACGTCATGAACCAGTGACACGCCTGCAAATGTCATGGACCAATGACACGCCTGGACACGCCATGGACCGGTGACACGCCCGGACACGTCATGGACCAGTGACACGCCTGGACACGTCATGGACCAGTGACACGCCCGTACACGCCATGGACCAGTGACACGCCCGGACACGCCATGGACCAGTGACGTGGCGTGTCCAGGCGTGTCACTGGTCCATGGCGTGTCCAGGCGTGGCGTGTCCAGGCGTGTCACTGGTCCATGGCGTGTCCAGGCGTGTCACTGGTCCATGAAGTGTCCATGGAGTGTCACTGGTCCATGACGTGTCCAGGCGTGTCACTGGTCCATGACGCGTCCAGGCGTGTCAATGGTCCATGGCGTGTCACTGGTCCATGGCGTGTCCAGGCGTGTCACTGGTCCATGGCGTGTCCAGGCGTCTCACTGGTCCATGACGTGTCCGGGCTGCTCACACCTGGACACACCTTAGACCAGTGACACGCCGTGGACACGTCATGGACCAGTGACACGCCTGGACATGCCATGGACCAGTGACACGCCATGGACACGTCATGAACCAGTCACACGCCTGGACGCCCGGACACGCTATGGACCAGTGACACGCCGTGGACACGTCATGGACCTGTGACAAACCGTGGACACGCCATGGACCAGTGACACGCCATGGACCAGTGACACGCCCGGACACGCCATGGACCAGTGACACGCCGTGGACCAGTGATACGCCGTGGACACGTCATGGACCTGTGACACACCGTGGACACGTCATGGACCAGTGACACGCCTGGACACGCCATGGACCAGTGACAGGCCTGGACACGCCATGGACCAGTGACACCCCCGGACACGCCATGGACCAGTGACACGCTGTGGACACGTCATGGATCTGTGACACACCGTGGACACATCATGGACCAGTGACACGACACACCTGGACACGCCATGGACCTGTGACACACCTGGACACGCCATGGACCAGTGACACACCTGGACACGCCATGGACCAGTGACCGCCACCACCTGAGATAGAAAAGCCATAATATCAAACACAAAGAACAATGTTAGCTTTATCACTGAGCTGTATTTGTTCACCTCATTAATCTGGTCATGAACAGAACAGCATTGTGAAAGTTACACGGAAAATAAAGGTGAAACCAAACATTTAAATGTCCATATAGAATTCAGTCTTATAATACCTCTTTAAGGCCAAACCTCAAAATCTGTAATATCTTGAATGGATCTACTCTCCAAGACGGTGTGTTCCATTTCCTGGACTTTATGTCACTGCTGAATGGTGGCAGTTAAACCAATGAGAGGCCTCAGATGCTTATTCACTGCTGTTATCCGCCTTGATGAAACAACTCTGAAACATTAAGAGAGATGAATTAGAATATTAAAACAACAAAAGACAAAAACATCTAAATAGATGAAGTTTCTATATACCAGTGCTTGTGCCCCCTTTTAAGACCGCAAACATAATCTGTACCCCCTATTCCTTGTTAGGATATACATTTAAACAGCCCCCATTATTCTTCAAATCCATCAAGGGAGATGAAAAGATGGAAAGAAGGAACTTTTAAGATAAACTAGTGAAACACATCTATTCTATTCCTGTGACATGTTTGGTTAGGATAATTGACACAAGAGAAATATACACCAGAGCTGTAAACAGCAGGTAAATAACTCTGGGACAAGCATTTTCTTCCACAGCACTACACAACCTCAAACTGCAAATATGTTCATTAACCCCTAGATTTATCTGTTCCAATAAAGCAACAACAGGTAACAACTTTATTACACATACAGCACCCTGTGTATGTGACACACAGAACAGACCAGGACTGAGAGGACACTGTGTTAGTGAGGACATCTATATTCAATATGAGACATTTACAACATCTGTGTGTGTGACACACAGAACAGACCAGGACTGAGAGGACTCTGTGTTAGTGAGGACATCTATATTCAATATGAGACATTTACAACATCTGTGTGTGTGACACACAGGACAGACCAGGACTGAGAGGACTCTGTGTTAATGAGGACATCTATATTCAATATGAGACATTTACAACATCTGTGTGTGTGACACACAGAACAGACCAGGACTGAGAGGACTCTGTGTTAATGAGGACATCTATATTCAATATGAGACATTTACAACATCTGTGTGTGTGACACACAGGACAGACCAGGACTGAGAGGACCAGCTAAACTGAAAATGAGACATTAACTATACTAAGTGTAAGATATTCACATGCATTAAAAGGGACACCCTCACTCAAACCTAAGTTTATGACACTCTAAATGATGCAGCAGAGTGTTTTAAGAGATGACCGTAAGTGTGTTCAGGATGTACCTACCAGTATTATTGTACTTCATTGATACTGGTCGATACTGTAGAGACGCACGGACTGCTCTGTAGAGACGCACGGACTGCTCTGTAGAGACGCACGGACTGCTCGGTAGAGACGCACGGACTGCTCGGTAGACCGGTAGACTGTTATGGTCAGTTCCCGGCATCGGACCATTCTAATCATTTGGTCGATACATTTGCCTTCGTTCCCAGCGTCTGAAACTCCGTTCTCCGCACTTTTGGTACATCGCACAAAGGGCCTCTTGTTCAGCGATGGCCTTGGCCACCATCTGCAGGTGCGTTATCTCAAAAGTACTCACGGAGTGTTCTTTCTTATCATCTCGAAGGTCTTTTGGTGCGCTTAATGTATCTCTCCCAAACTTTCCCGTCTGCAGCCGCGTATGACTCATCTCTCTTGTGACGAATGCTCATTGTTCTGTCTGACACACCTCCAGTATAAGATCATCAACACGCTGGTTGAGGGGAACAGAGAGACACGGCGTCACTGGACCCGTTTCTGTCTGGCTCCTTTTCTGCGCAGAAATGTCATTTTTGTACTCATCACTTCTGTAAATAAACTGCACAAAAGGACAAGTTTGTTTCCTCTCGGATTTATTTCATTTGAAGCATCAGAATTCCCATAACAAGACGCACGGACTGCTCGGTAGAGACGCAAGGACTGCTCAGTAGAGACGCACAGACTGTTCAGTAGAGACGCACGGACTGCTCTGTAGAGACGCACGGACTGCTCTGTAGAGACGCACGGACACGGACTGCTCTGTAGAGACGCACGGACTGCTCGGTAGAGACGCACGGACTGCTCTGTAGAGACGCACGGACTTTTCAGTAGAGACGCACGGACTTTTCAGTAGAGACGCACGGACTATTCAGTAGAGACGCACGGACTGCTCTGTAGAGACGCAAGGATCGCTCAGTAGAGACGCACGGACTGCTCAGTAGAGACGCACGGACTATTCAGTAGAGACGCACGGACTGCTCTGTAGAGACGCACGGACTGCTCTGTAGAGACGCACGGACTGCTCTGTAGAGACACAAAGACTGGTCAGCAGAGACGCAAGGACTTTTCAGTAGAGACGCACGGACTATTCAGTAGAGACGCACGGACTGCTCTGTAGAGACGCAAGGATCGCTCAGTAGAGACGCAAGGATCGCTCAGTAGAGACGCACGGACTGCTCAGTAGAGACGCACGGACTATTCAGTAGAGACGCACGGACTGCTCTGTAGAGACGCACGGACTGCTCTGTAGAGACGCACGGACTGCTCTGTAGAGACGCACGGACTGCTCTGTAGAGACGCACGGACTGCTCTGTAGAGACGCACGGACTGCTCTGTAGAGACGCACGGACTCTTCAGTGGAGACGCACGGACTGCTCTGTAGAGACGCACGGACTCTTCAGTGGAGACGCACAGACTGCTCAGTGGAGACACACGGAATGCTCAGTAGAGACGAACGGACTGCTCACTAGAGACACACGGACTGCTCACTAGAGACACACGGACTGCTCACTAGAGACACACGGACTGCTCACTAGAGACACACGGACTGCTCACTAGAGACACACGGACTGCTCACTAGAGACACACGGACTGCTCACTAGAGACACACTGACTGCTCACTAGAGACACACTGACTGCTCACTAGAGACACACTGACTGCTCACTAGAGACTCAGACTGCGCGGCAAAGTCGAAGGGGAGGAGCAGGAGCGGAAAATGTATGCACGCAGGAGATAAATATTGCGGAACGTTTCCTCGGACGTACGTGCAGCAACCAATCCGCAGAGAGAGAGAGCCGCAAAGTGGTCACGGGGACATTAGCGGACTGAGCAAGCAGACTGAACATACTGTCAACGGCTAAAACAGGAGCCACACCAGGACTAAAACCGGGGTTGACAATGGGGGACATAGTGCTTGTGAACATATGCGTTTTCATGCTCCCATGACTTTACGCAACTGCTTTGAGATTTTGCCGATGCGGAAACTGAAAATGAGACATTTAACTACTCAGAGTAAGATATTCACATGTCTTAAAGGGACACGCTCACTCAAACCTAAGTTTATGACACTCTAAATGATGCAGCCAAGTGTTTAAAGTAAATATGTCCCTTACAAACCATAGTTTCTAAACATCATGCATCCAAAATTAAGCAGCAGAACTAACCTGTTGTGCAGGGCTGTCTGACTCTTCACTTTCAGTTCAGCGTCTGTTGAGGAGAACACATGATATGAAGGCACAATGCTTAGCAAGACCAGGTGTTTTTACCAGGAGTAGCTAAGGTTTTATCTAAAATGCTCGATTTTTTAATCTTATTTTTAAAATGCTATAACTTAAAAGTGATAAGAGATTGAGGATTTCTGTAAATTATAACAATTAAGGATGGCCCAAAACTTATGTAGGGAATAAAAGTATCCTGCTCTTTCTATCTCGTCCAACGTTACTGCCGCCCCGTGAATACGACACTATTAGCGGAGGCTGGACGTCAGGGCACTGACTTCTAATCTTCCATCCATCAATCATCTTCCCCTTAACCCTTTAGGCGCCAGAGTTTTTTCAAGAAAATATACAATTTTGATTTCAAGATTTCAAAAGGCTATAACTTTAAAATGGTTTGAGATAAAGGCATACTGTAAATTAGAAATATCTTCAGTTTGAACCAAACTTTGGGATGGAAGTTGATTCGTCATCTAATTTGCATATTGTGACGTCATCAAGGTGGCGGCCATTTTGGAAAATGTTAATTATTGTATAGAGACTTCAAAAAGCTGTAGCTTGGGAGTTATTTGAGATCAGGGAATACTATAAACAGTCAATGTGAAATATCTTTAGTATGAAATGAATTTGGGATAGAAATAAATTCCCTGATCCAGATTATAAATGATGTTTTAGCACTGGTTCGCGGCCATATGGAATTGTATTATTTTCAAAGACCTTCAGTGATCAAGACAGCACTCTTTATAGTTTACAGTCATGAAATCTTGAGATTGGTTTCAATATTTCCCTTTCAGAGAAGTAGTGGGCTTACTATTTTCTCAGTGGAAATGAGGCTCCAGGATTTACCGTTTACAAACAGAGAGATGAAATGAATGGGCTCAGAACTTGTCAGATCGTCTCAACAACATACAACAGGCTCTTCAACACTTCTGATCCACTTTTGTGGATTATTTTCTCTCAAGAACTGTCTTCATCCTCATCATCGCTGCTGGTAAAGGCAGTGAACGCGATTAGCGATGTGTTTTTTTCCCGCGGCTCTCCCGCGACTTCTCCCGCGACTTCTCCCGCGTCTCCCGTGTTCCCCGTGGATGTCTACCCCCACTCCTTTCTCCCACATGCCCGGTGTTATGATCCCCCTGTCCCCTCCACCACGGATCCTGCTTGGCGTTCACAAAAGGCTTCTACCGCGGCCACACGGAGGACAAGCAGCCGCTGTACAGGGGCTGATTGTGGACTATGGAGCGCTGTCTCCCCGTCACTAATAATCAGTGATGGGAATAACGGCGTTACTAGTAACGGCGTTACTAACGCCGTTACTTTTTTCAGTAACGAGTAATCTAACTAATTACTTTGACAGTAACTATAACGCCGTTATCATTTCCGACATCCCGTTACTGCGCGTTACTCAAGACGCACAATGAACGTGTTGTCATGAGAGAAGGGAGGATGAGAAAACCTCCCAGCAATTATTGGCTGATGTAAAACATATTTCCTTTACAATCTACATGTCTATAGTTGAGAGGATGGCTCATAAATTGTGTTTTTGAAACAAATATGGGTCTTAATCGCGCTCATCCACGGCTTGTATCACCGTGAGGTCAGCCACAGAGGAGCACATGTGAGCGCAGAAGTCGGCTGCATACAATTCCATCGATAAGCTCCTTTCTCTTCCTGGTTTATCTGCTAAGGACAGCAACAGGTTTGGCTAACATACATATAACATATTTAAGATAATTTAAAATGCACATAGGGTAATTTTTCAATTACTATAGGAATGATAAGAAAGAGAGGTGAAGTGTAAGATGGTTGATTTTAGAAATTGGATGCACTCGGCTGCCGCAAAACACAGGAGTTTATGGAGGACACACGCGTTTTGTTTTACTTTTTAAAACTCATTGGACTCATTTCCAAATGGAGGATTACGTATCTACGCTCAAACTATTATCTGGACTTAAACATGGAACTGGTCGAACCGAAGTGGCTTGTGCAGGTCATTTATAAGGTAAGACCCATAACTCACAGTTTTGCGTTTTGTATGAACAAACAATGCGGGCATGAAACGTATTCTGCTGTAGCCAAACAAACTGTCCACTTGATTTATATGATATATATATGTTCATCTGATTGGACTGAAGTCAGTGCTTCACCGGTGTTTCCACATTCACAGTGGCGGGCTTTACAGCACAGTGAGAGATGAAGAGTGAACAGGACTTCAGCAGCAAAACAGCCTTTTCTAGATGGAAATATTGGCACTATTAAAAGTAAAAATGCGCACGTCGGGTGCACATTATGTTCCAGAACAAAACGAAAAAGTAACGCAATAGTTACTTTTACTGGTAACTAGTTACTTTTATAGTGGAGTAACTCCGTTAGTAACTCAGTTACTTTTTGGGAGAAGTAACTAGTAACTATAACTAATTACTTTTTCAAAGTAACGTGCCCAACACTGCTAATAATGTCCGTGTCTGCTTCACTGGACACCTGAGTGTCTTCCTCCTCTGAATCTGAGTGAGCCAGTACCAGACCAAGTACTTCTCTGGTACTGAAGACCTCGTGAGTAAATAAAAACACTCTCTCCCTCTGCTCTGCTCTCGCTCGTCTCAGCTCTGCCGCTGCTGCTTTGCCTCCGCGCCGCTGCGCCGCAGGTGTTTTACGAACTCAATTTACTCAAAAACTTTCAATATAACCACACCCACAAATGCTGCTCATATTACAGGCACACATGTCCACTAACCCCTGGTGAAAAGTATTAACAAGATTCAGCACCACATTTTTAGATACAGCCTGTTTAAGTGAGCAATGTTGCTTGTCGCAATATTGCGACTTTGGCGCTTAAAGGGTTAATCCATTTCTGGGTCGGGGGGGTGGCAGTCAGAGCTACACCCAGTTCACAGAGCACCAGCCCCTCCCTGATCCTCCTGCAGGTAGTGAGTCCATAGGAGCCTTGATTTTTGAGTGGGGGCTTTAGGCAAAGTGGGGTTATGTGTCTTGCCCAAGGACAAAATGACAGCAATCACCAGTGGGAGTCGTGAAGTAGGTCTCGTGGTGGGCTCGAACCCACGAGCTTCAGCCTTAAAGACCAATGCTCTACTAAGTGAGCCACTGTCGCCCAGTCTAGACTCCTAGTCTTGTTCTCCGCAAATCTAACCTTTCTTCGAACTTCCAAATGACCGCCCTGACCCTGAGAAACACTGTTCCAACTGACACTGAGCGTCTGAAGTGTTTAAAGTGTCTAAAGTTTGTGTTTGTTGCGGTACAACACTGGCACGCTGCTGCAGCTGCACTCGCTTCGCTATGATTTCGGCACTGGTTCAACACGGTCTTGCTCAATTATTTTGTATATGAGCATGGCCATTTTAAATAGTACTGCATCTTGTCGACAAGAGGGTTAAGTAAGGTATTACCTCTGGATAAGTCTGCAGAGAGAACATCAGGGTCCAAGTCACTGTGTGGTCACCAAACTCTGCAACATGTTGTCCAGCAATGATGCTTATACCACTGAGCTGTGTCTAAACAAGAGGAACAGAAAAATACACATCATCTTCACCAGCCATACCCAAATTGAGGTCTGGGGCCTATTGGGGCCCTCTCTGTCTTGATATGTAACAATATACACATTTTCAATGTCATCTAGCCAACATCAGCTCTGCCAACATAGGTTATAAATCATTGTAATGCTCAGGATCTCTGTAATCATGTTGTTTCTGTGATGGAGAGATGGCTATAATCTCACAAGTCAAATCATTATCACACATGTGCATAGGATGGACTGTGAAATATGAAGAAAAGCGTAATATGGAACCTTTAAAACTATGCCTTTGGACTGTGATGATGCTTTGACCTACTTAAGATAATATAAGAATTCCTTTATTTGTCCCACAGTGGGGACGAATACTTATTTTATTAGCTATTGTAAAACAATGGGACTTATTTCTTTAACAAACAGCCATAAATAAGCTAACCTCAAAAGAGGACTCCCTGACGTCCCGCTGCAGGACTCGACTCTCTGGTTCCTCTCATAGGCCTCATAGTTTTTCAAACAGTAAATTACTTCTGTCCTCTTAACATTCACAAAACATTTCCCTAGTCATCAAGTTTGAAGCAGTGTTTTGAAGCTCAAATCAAAACTCTCAAGTTAAATCAGTCCTGGTTTAGACAGTGTTGTTGTAACACTGCAGTTCACCTGCATGGCTGTGTACTTACTTACTTACTTGTGGGAGAAATATCCATCAATTTTCTTCCCCAGTCAGAGCTGCACCCAGAGCACCAGCCCCTCACTGATCCTCCTGCAGGTGGAGAGTCCAGAGGAGCACATTATGAATGATTAAATTATAATAATTCTAATAGACTATTATAGACCTAATACATGCAGGTTATATAATATACCCTATAGTAATAACATACTATCGCCAAAACAGCCCCTTACAGGGGAACACATCTCTTTTAAGCTTTAAGGAACACAGTAGGCCTATTATTTTATTTCTATTAAGAATACAGATGTATATAATTTAATGAAACTAAAACATTTTAATTAACAAGCATTTCCATGCAAATGGAAGGTACTAGTGATTATTATACTATTGTTATTTCATCATCAAGTCACTCACATCCCAGTGGAAGCAGATGTTGGAGGTTATGGACTATGTGGGCTAAATGGGACACTTATAATTTTATGGCATAAGGATTATGCTATGCCCTTTGCCATTAATGGGTAATCAAAGCCTATTTGTATGATTTCTGCAAAAAGTGCATCATAATAAATACCTCAAATGTCTTATCTCTATTGTTCTTATAATTGTAGTCTTCTAACTGGCCTTATAAAAGCAATAGGCATTATGTAGTATGCATAAACAGGGCGTTAGCCACTTAGCTCCGCAGCTATACAGGGCGTTAGCCACTTAGCTCCGCAGCTATACAGGGCGTTAGCTCCGCAGCTATACAGGGCGTTAGCCACTTAGCTCCGCAGCTAATCTAGGATACTTTGTGCTAAACAACCTGTGGCCAGCTGTAACTCTTCCCAGTATTGACTCACCACGGCCCTGTCTCCTCTGTGGACAATATAGTTGCTGTAGATTTTCTGAACAAGTGGCTGCAGCACACATTCGCGTTAGCTTTAGCGTTAGCTCTGCTGCTAAACTAGGCTGCTTTGTGCTATGTGGTGACAGTGAAAACTCTCTCCTACCTCCGTGCGGGTGTCTCTCCATGTCCTGTGTCCCTCTGCGCGGCTGCTCCTCTCCTGTCTTCTTTGTGGATGTATACATAGTTCCCACATGACGTCACTACATACGGGGATTTGCCGACCCGGCGCCATTTGTCTTGGCATTCTTTTATTTTTTTTTTTTTTTTTTTTTATTTTTTTTTTTTTGAGGGAGAGGAAAACCTTTTTTACTATTTATTCAAGCAATCCCACACTGAAGTTTACATTTGACCAGTTTTGAAAGACGCAATTTTAACTCGTCTCTGGACATTTTTCAGAAAAATTTGTCTCGGTTAAAACAAACACACATACAAAAAAAACTCTTCCGAATCTATAAGAAATTGTCTTGACCTTGAAAATAAATACGTGGGTCTTTGGTTAGAGGTGGGCAATTTTTACACTCAAATATATGCAATGCTTTTAAATTAAATTCCCAAGAACAACATTGTTTGAACAGTTTTTAAACTCTTTGTATTAAAGCTGGGGTACTTAACTTTTAAAACAGATAATTTTCAATTCAACTTAATCTATGTCACTAGCTCCTTTCTCTCAAAACTATTTTCATCACTAGTTTTCATGTATTTTTTGGCCTCTGTCACATATTTGTCTTGGCATTCTGTGGGCCAAAAAATAGAAAAAGAAGCTGAAACGTGTGATAAAGTTGAAAATGGTCGTCTCCTGCTGGGTCAATGGATGTTCTAATCGTGCCGGAGGTTCAGTTAAACTTGGATTTTACAGTATACCCATCATTAGACTTCATGAATGTGAGAAGACTAAGCTTTTGTCAGAACAACCACGGAGGTTATGGCTTGCGAAGATAAACAGGCAAGAAACTCCCTCAAAACACGCAAGAATATGCTCGGAGCACTTTGTGTCAGGTGCGTATCGTATCTCATAATGTGTTGACAGACGTAATTTACTCAGTACTAACTTGTGTATGCTGATATCTGGTAACTTGAGAAGTTTCATTATTTAGCGTTAGATTACTTTATTATGAGGAGGATCGGTGTCGCGTCCGAGGCTCTCGAGGGCAACGTAAATGTATACATAGTTTTCCTGTGACGTCACGAAGCACCTGCATGTTTTTCGTCGGCCATATTGGATGGGTATTTAGAGCGATCATTTAGCGAGACATTTTGTGCGAAAGAGGAAGTAATACTTAGAAATGGGAGTTCACTGTTACATTGTCGGCTGTTCGAATGAAAGTGGGAGATGTGGTGCATCTTTCTACAGACTGCCTGCAGTAAGAACGGACCAGGGAGAAAAAACTCACGAGTTAACTGCAAAGAGACGACGAACTTGGTTATCGAAGATCAGTAGAGCCGATCTCAAATCGAAGTCTTACCCCTACGTGCGAGTCTGCTCTGAACATTTTGTCAGTGGTAAGTGAAGATAAATAATTCAAAGACGATAACGTATGGATTGTTTATATTTATCATCGGACATGACATTGTCAGTTGTCCACAAGGATGTTCGTTAGCCTGTCAGGGGGCAAAGGTTTTTAAGCATGATTGAACTTCATATTTGTGCATAAAACTGGATCAATTACTGTTATGTTGTGTTAGTTTTGTTTTTAGTTTTTTCCCCTTACACGTACATATGACGAAATGGTTTTCAATTTACTTTTTCTTTCCTCCAACAGGTAAACCATCCACCTTGTACGATGATGGTAACATCGACTGGGCACCTACCATGAAGCTTGGCCATCAGAAACAGTCTTCAGCCACATCCTCCTCCTTCCGTGGAGACAGGGTTCGACAGAGAGCGGCAAAGAAGAAGGACATAGCGGCAGCACAGTCTTTGCTAAGTTTACAACGAACGCCACAAGTGGAACTGCATGAAGGCATATGTGAGGACAGTGAATTAAGAACCGCAGAAATTTGTGAAACTGACCAAGAACTGACACAGGAGTGTGGTACTAGTACGCAAACGGACTTGAGTTGTGACTACCTCAGTGTTTTGGAAAGTGACTACAACAACTTGGTGTCGGAGAATTTAGACTTCAAACAAAAAATTACCAGGAGTGAAATAACAGAAGAAAGCTTCAAAGGAAATGACGATAAAGTCAAACTGTACAGTGGCATGTCGTCATACACCGCTCTTATGGCATTATTCATGTATTTGGCACCTTCTCTTTCCATCACCCACAGCAGTTCGTTGACGAAGTTTCAGCAGATGATGATTGTGTTAATTAGATTGAAGCTTGGCTTCCAGTTCAGTATTTGTCAGATGTGTTTCAAGTTTCAGCAAGTACTGTGAGCAAAGTGTTTTTGAAAACTCTAAATGTCATGTATGTAAAGTTAAAACCATGCATTTACTGGCCACAACGAGAGGAACTTCATGAGACAATGCCCATGGTCTTCAGGAAACATTTTGGACTAAACGTGGCGGTGATCATAGACTGTTTCGAAATCTTTACTGAGCGCCCTTCTAGTTTAACCGCCAGAGCTCAGACCTGGTCATCTTATAAACACCACAACACAGCTAAATACTTGATTGGTATAACACCACAAGGATCTGTTTGCTTTATCAGTCCAGGGTATGGAGGAAGAGCCTCCGATAAATTTATAACCGATGACTGTGACTTTTTAAATAAACTTTTACAAGGAGACATTGTTATGGCAGACAGAGGCTTCAACATTGCTGAGAGTGTTGCACAAGCTGGATGCGAACTCAAGATTCCGGCCTTCACAAAAGGGAAGAGCCAACTGTCAGCAATAGATGTGGAGCAGACGAGGAAGTTGGCCAGTGTACGGATTCATGTGGAACGTGTCATTGGCCTAATTAGAAACAAATTTGATATCATGAAAAAAACTGTTCCCATTGACTATTTAATTTCGTCTGAGAACTCTGTGCCAACACTCGACAAAATTGTGACTGTTTGTTGTGCGCTGACCAATATGTGCAAATCAGTAGTTCCATTTGACTAAATTAATTTCTGGCTTTGAAGTTAATGAATATGCAGACTGCGGTACCAGGACACGTTTTTGATTTTACAAGAATAGCCTACTGACTGTGATATGATAATAATGTCTTGATATACCATACTTCAAGGTGCCCGGCTTAAATTATATTTAAGCCTATTTCTTTTTGTGATAAACCTTATAAGAATACATCATTATTTTGAATGATTGATATATCTTTTATTACAATTATATATTTTTACAAATATCTACTGTTACGCTCATGTGATATTGAATGCTATGTTGCTACTGCTGATTTTTTGGGTGGAAATGAAAATAAAACATGGTCAAACACCAGATTTTTTTGTCTTTTTGTCCCTTTAAAAAAGGAATTAAATTATTTTGCCCGTCCGAATTTTTTTTTAAAGATTTGGCAGAGTGACCGGTTAATTCATTACAGATATTACAGAACTTATTAGATGAAAGTAGCACAATCATACATTGGATGCAAATACAGCCCATCACAACTTCAACAGAATCAATTTTTTCTTTTCTTCCCCTTGCGCGAGTTCTTTTCCTTTCGGCAATCTGGACAATCCCAATTGCCTTGAGGGAGCATATGTTTTTTAAGCTTTAAACACACAAGGTGAAACCACTGAAATTTACAGTTCTCATTGTCACAGGCAACCATTTCACTGTCACTTTCCTCTCGTTGGCAGTAGCAGTAAAGCTGGACTTGGGATGTGGTGATGGTGTTTGTGGCCGAACTGTTACAACTCGGGGGCAAAGGCTTGTTGAGACGGGAGAAAAATCTCCCAACTAGCTCGGGCATGACTGCCAAGGTGTGGAATTGTTCTGCCTTTGATAAAATTTCAGTCCAAAAGCTCTCCTCTGGTTCAACCCTTTCTATCATAAAGTCTTTTTCTGTCCAGACAACAAAGTCACAGAATTCAGCCTTTGCCACAAATATCTGCGTTTGTACCTGATAATAGTAGGCATGATCACGTTTAAGTGTCTGTCCATCTCCAATGTCCTCAAGACAAGAATTAGGGCCTGTGTACTCGGCCAGTGACTTATGTCGAACACAGTACGGGCACTTTATCTCGACCAATCCTGTTCCGCAACAATCACAAGACACTAATCCATCAGGTGTAGCTCCAACGAAGGGGTAATCAGGATTGATGAGAAGGCCTGATCTTTCAAGTGTGAAGTTCTCATGTAATCCGTTCATTGTCTGTTGATAAGAGTCGAGAGCAGTTTTTTCGTGTTGGCATCCCCATGACGTAGCAGCAGTTTTAAAAGTGGACTCCTCTGAGTAACAAATTGATGTCACAAGACTCACAGAAGGAGCAGAAGGATTGCTGTGGCACACCGCCCTCATTTTTGACGCTGTAACACGCCCACTCCTGAATCTGTGCCACATTTTACTGGCGGACTGGTCTTTTGTTGCGGCCTCTACAGCATCTGCTTCTTCCTGGGTACATGTAACTGTCACTTCGGGAGAGTCACACTTCTTCAAAATGTCACCAAAGCTTGCTTCCAACAATGTCCGGTCAACAAAATCTGTCAGTATCTTTGGAAACCTGTAATTTAAAGGCTTTGGTTTAAAGTCTGCCTGATATGGTGCACAGACACTAAGTAATGCAGACTTCGTACCAGAAGCATTCAAACTTTGTAAAAAATTTGCAAACTCAGTTTCTGTTGGAGGCTCTACGGGCTTCGTGTCCAAGACTTCACGCCCCAGAAGCTCATTTCCAGATAAACTGACATCTAACTTCTTCTTTCTCGCTTTTGCCGATGTAAAGTCAATGTCCTTTAATTTCTTATAACTGACCCCCTTCACACTTGGGGGCAGCCAGTATGATTTCTCTCCAGTAACAGTTTTGGCTTCTCGAACTTTTACCGACGCCTCAATGCTGAATAGTAGAGCAGCAATGTGTGTACACGCCTCTCCCAAACCAGCCATGCAGTTACAATGGGCAGCGAGAATCTTTCCATCTGGTTGAATGATGATCCATGGGACAAGTGGAGTGTCGCTCAGCCTTTGAGAATGCATAACCTGAAAAAAGCAAAAAATAAAATAAATTAAACCACATGCTAATAAGTACTGCATTATACACAGAATAATGGTTAGGCCTTGAAGATATATTCCGATTTTAAACTAAACTCACTGACTGCCAGGCATTTTCAGATTTGAGAAGTGCGTTCTGCCTACAATTTCAGGTGATTTGACTTTGAAGTGCCACAGAATATTTATTTTTTAGACGATGTAAACACCAAGGGCACCAAATTAAAGATTAACCTCTCTGCTTTACTCTGAAAAAAACAGTTTGTTTCTACCTCTCACCGTTCTTGAGCTATTCGCCATAGAACAAAGCATACTTTCACCCATAACACCTGGTCTGAGCAAGAAAACAGAGAAAACGAGCTGTATGTAAACAGGAACATATCAAGCAGAAAAGAGACTTTTAGATGCATTTTTGCTGCTTTAGTGACAACTCAAAACATCTTCACACTTGTTCCATTACAAAAATTATTAAAACACTCCCACACTCCTCCTCCTTCTCTCCACTGACTTATGACCTCTCCTGTGGTGCAATACTGCATCCTACTGGTGTTGATTTATCATTACAGGTACATTTGCACTATATATCAGTATTGTGGGTCATTCACAAGGTGCACGAGACATTACTGTAGCCTCCCATGTAATAACATGAAAAAGGCGTCTAACTCGTCTTGGGCAGTGAGCGTTACTATTCAACATGACGAGTTTTGTCGTCATGGGCAGTGAATGAGTTAAGTGGAGTTAAGCACGCTGAAGCCCAACGCCACGGACAGTGGAAAACGGATCGTTAAATTAAATAATCTTGATGGCTGAAAACTAAAATTACAAACCTTAGCTGTGTGCAGACAGAGGTCGTTGATTTTGTACACGGCAACATCTCTCACCCAACCACAAATGAATTGGTTGTAAGCCTCGAGACCCTTGTATGACTTCAACTGATCCAGTGAATAAGCACTCGTGGAATTTATCAGAAAGTTTACAATATCTGGATACGTGACACACGCCCACGAATTTATGTCGCTTGTCCAAAGGTTTTTATCCAGCACATACGGGTCTTGTTGGCCAATCAGTTGACATTTTCCATCGTATCGTAATCTTGATACCTGATCTAACGATAGCCTGTAAGCTGCCAAAGTTTTAGTCGCCATAACAATTGAAATAGCACGAAGTAATTGGAGCAGAGCAATGTAAACATGTGACGAATACCCATCCAATATGGCGGACACTTCGCGCCGTGCCCGGATGTTAGTCACGTGATCGTATCTATGTATCAAATACTTTTATCGAGACCACATTAATGAGTACGAGTATGAGTACAAGGTGTGGTATCCATGGATCTAATCGTGGTATCGGGCGCATCAAGAAACGCACGCATGAAGCCCAAAGCAAACTACAGCGGAGAATACAGAGGAAAACAATCGTTAGCATTATTAGCAGATAACTCGGCCCTAGAATTAGCGTGCAGCCGTGACAATTTAAATGCATGTTTTGCGTCGTCCCGCAAAATAAAATCAAGTTTTTAGGCCAGATTTTAAAGTAAGCGTCAGCTGTGGTAGTAAGCGGAGGTTTACCTGCTTGCACTAGAGCAAAGGCCCGTTTCCTGCAGGTGTTGCTGTAAGCAGCGTGATGAGGAGGTGCACCCTCCAGTGCAAAACATATCTGATAAACTTCAATAGCTTTTCGATCACTCGCACAAATGCGTCCTTTATAAAATTGTACTGTCAGTTGACAAAACAAGAAAAACTAAATGTCGCACATGCAACCACTTTAGCCTCAGTCTAGATCCCTGTCAGACAGACGACTGTTAATATATATT